TCATAATAATATTAAAATCAATTTTTGGACAATCTTACGGCCCACCTGGTTTCGAGTAATTTCCGGAGCCCCTAGACATCAAAAACTTAAGTGTTTGAACAATTTCAAATGCTCGAAACCCATTTCTGCTTCGCGGCAACAATAAGCAGAATGGCGGTATTTATCCGTTGGGGCTCACAAGACGCTCTGCCACCAGTAAAAATGAAGGTACATTGGTAGGTTTAACGACAAAGGGAAGATCTTTCACCGAGCGGGTGATAATGCTCGGTAGACCGACGGTCCGAATGTTGTTTTTTTTTCCTACCTAAATTGAGAGCCTTGGGAAGCTATATAAGCGTAACCTTAACTAGTAGATGAGCTCACGGGGCTCAAACCTGACGACGTTGCTAACACGAACCCTAGCAAGAGCCGTGCTTCGCAGAATCTACCACCGGATCGGAAACGCGACCCACTGAGAACATCGGGCGAGAAACTAAGTGGAACTTGTATATACCTAATAAGCAAACTTATCTTGAAAATTTCACAAGCGAGATCAAGCGTCTGTCTGTTGTGTTCTATAATGGCTACAGTAAAATGAAATAGAAGATTTGAACTTTTTTGCCTTCGATGGGAAAAAATGGATTATGAAATTCGATTCCAGCATGGCATCCTCCAGCCGTGACTACTTCTCCATCGTTCGACCATAATGATAATATTTTAATTAACTTTAATTAATTCTATTAATCACTACTGAACGATCTATTGGCACGCGGCCGATCCATGCGGCGCGAGGTTCTGTGATAATTTACTGCTCTTAATTTCAAGTAATGGCGCTAATTTTAATGCGTTACTACACTACCAGGTAAGGTTATGAATTTCTAATCACGGTTAAATAGTCTGAAAATAAAAATAACAATTCGAGATAACTTTTTACTATGAAAAGTATGGGGGTCATCCGGGTGTAATACCTACGATATATATAATAATAATAATAAAGCCTTTTTATTTCCAGTAAATTTACATAACTTAAATCTATGTTTGATTTTAGTATAATTTTTAATACAGTTTTTATCGCTTACTTAATATAATTAGTATGTTTACTTAATATTATATAATTATGTTTACTTAATAATATGTAGTTTTTAATCTACCGGAACCCCAGATTGGGTGAAGGCCTCCTCCAGTGATGCCCATTTGATTCTGTCTTCAGCTACTTTTTTCCAGTTTGGACCGGCTATTGCTTTAATGTCGTCTTCCTATCTTGTTATAGGTCTACCTCTTGTTCTTTTGCCTAAGGGACCGTTCCAGAATGTAACTTTTTTGGTCCATCTATGATCAGTTAATCGTGCAACATGTCCCGCACACTTCCATTTCAATATAATATAGGTACCACGATAATATAGGAAGATATTTATCCAGAGGGATGTTGATTCGGTTCATTGAACTCTCCCGGCCAGACGTCACATTATTGCTCATACAACGTAACCGTTTACATTAAATGGATTTATACTGAGGATGCGGTTCCTGGCGAATGAGTAATAAAACTGAGTGCTTTTTCATTACAAACAAAGAGATTATTGTGTTTATATTGAAGAAATTTACGAAAGTACACATCATTGGTCTGGCAGAGTAGAAGGTGGCGGGACTAGAAATAGAACTGAAATTTAGTAATTACTTCGGTTTTCACGAGTCGTAGACATAATACATAAGACTTGACGATTTGATCTCACGCTTATTATTGCCATTATATTATATCCGACGTAACAAATGCTTGACAGTTTACGTGGTCACGCATACATTAGTTTTTAACTTTTAACAAATCCCTTCCCTCCTGGCTGTGTCTTTGGTCGCTCTGGTGTTCTGGTGAAACTGGTAAGGCATCCAGGCCACCAGTATCCCTTAAATAATAATAAATAAAAGCTTCTGTTTTCGTGGTCAGGTTAATTAATCACTAGCATTTTATATTTTAATATCAAAACCATAATGGTAATCATTATGTATTCAACCCAGCTAAAATAACTAATATACGTAACACAAAAGGATTTAATTAATCATTACAGTATATGTAATATTATCATGTTATGTTACGAATGTACTTATTTAAAATTTCAGTTCTCTTCAGTATAAGGACGGAACTGGTAAAACGAACAAAAACGGCTGTCGATCTAAATTTTTTATCAGTAAATAGCAAAGGAAGTGTGTGTGCCGTACTGTGTATTTGGCCACAATGTTTCCAAATGTTTTAATGGGTCACATTTTATGGAACATACCTACATGAAATTCTGCCATCTTAATATTTTCGTATGACATCACGTGATACGAGAACTATTTTTTTTATTGCCTTTGTAGGCAGACGATCATACGGCCCACCTGATGGTGAGTGTTTACAGTCGCCCATGGACCTCAACAATGCCAGGTGCAGAGCCAAATCGGTGCCTACCGTAAACAAAATAGCTTGACAAAATAATTTTTCTCTAAGCTTAGATAATTTTTTATTGCGAACTGTGCGGGTTTTATTACGAAGATGGGTGCACGAGCTCATGGCCCGCCTGGTTTTAAGTGGTTACCGGGGCAAAGCAAGTTATTAATATACACACTTCATAGCATAGCGATTCATGACCTTTTCAATTGAGGTACCATTGTACCTTAGATTGGTTACTAAGCTCACGATCCAACTGATGTTAAGTAGTTACCCTAGCTCATAAATATAATAACCGTGACCCACATTGAGACATGAGGACTCAGTTTCAATTGTTAAGTATATAAATTAAACAGCTTGTGTAGTACAACTGTTTTAGCTTTCAAACTGGAACGAATTATTGCTACATGGTAGAAATGACCAGGATAGTGGTATCTACTCGTGAGCATACACTATGCGTTCTTTAACCAATAATTTTAAGGAAACGAACATTTTTGTGTGTTGAATTATTATTATTTTGTTGCCCTTGTAGGCAAACGAGCATACGGCCCTCCTGGTGGTGAAAATTATAAAAAATATAATAATATAAAATATAAAAATAATAAATATAATAATAAAGGAAATACTTTTGAAACAAAAACATGTTATGGAACAGAACCGGTTCAAGAGCCGTTTGTGTTAACAAAAAATAAACAAATCCATCAAGTGTGCATTTTTAGCAAACGATTTTGCTTTAGTTCCACCAAAACGGCTTAAGAAACGAGGCTAATAAAACATATTGTAAATTTAAGACAACGAATCAACTGCACACTGTATTTTAGTAAATTGTAAACAATGATCTACATTCAGCTTATTAAGTTTACATTATCGAGATAAATTTACTGATTCGTTCTAAACATAATATACTTAAATATAATTTATTATTTCAAACTCCAAGCGTTTGTGAATGCTAGTGCTTGTGAGTGCCTACACCCAATTTTGGAAATAATCTCTACAAAACTTGCATACGCCCTGTCATGACATATGCAAGCGTAGTGTTCGCTCACGCGGCCCGCACCAACTTGAAACCCCTTCAGGTTATTCAATCGCGATTCTGCAGGATAGCCGTCGGAGCACCATGGTTCCTGAGGAACGTGGATCTCCACGATGACCTGGAGCTCGACTCTGTCAGTAAGTATCTACAGTCGGCATCGATGCGCCACTTCGAAAAGGCCCGGAAAAGGTCGACGTCGCCCAAAGCACGTCATTACGGATCCTCCCGATCCATTAACGGTGCTTTTAGGCACCACAAGCTCTGGTCACCGTCCTCGTCGAACCCGTCGCTTGCGACGAAGGGCTCGACGAGCGAATTAACTCATAGACACAGCCCACTGAGTTTCTCGCCGGATCTTCTCAGTGGGTCGCGTTTCCGATCCGGTGGTAGATTCTGCGAAGCACTGCTCTTGCTAGGGTCAGTGTTAGCAACACTCCGGTTTGAGCCCCGTGAGCTCACCTACATACGTTAGGGTGAAGCTGAAATAGCCTCTCAAGGCTATCAGTATAGGTAGGAAAAAAAAAGCCCAAAAGGAAATGATTTGGCCTGAGACGATCACTAACAACGAGTTATGGAGGATCACCAAGCAGACACCAATATAAAGGGAGATCCTTACGCGGCATTGGATTGGTCATGCATTGGTCATTAAGAAAGCCCAAGATAGCACTGACCTGGAAAGTGTCTGGCAAAAATAAGAGAGGCTGTTTCAGAACAACTTGGCGTCATAGAGCAGGAAATGGGCGTCTTTGGTACGACGTGGGAGGAGGTAGAACAGACTGCCCAAGACCGATGCAAATGGAAGAATTTGATTTGAACCCTACACCCTATTAGATACCCTAATAGGAAAGAAAGAAGAAGAAGAAGAAGATTTCAAATAATGATTGTAAAATGAATAAAACAAATGCAAGATTAAGTCGTGAAAGTGTTTGAATCGTATCGTACTCGTGATAACCCTAGGTAACACAAAATATTTTATGCTTTGAATTTTCTGATCGAAATACGTTGCCAACAGGTATTTCTTAAAATAATACATTTAAAAAACTGCAAACACAAAGAGTTCACGGAAAGATTAAAAATAGCAGCCTGACAGTCCGCAAACTAAAAACTGGAAATAAAAGCTAGTGAACTTTCGTGATTATTCTTATAGTTATGGAGATATTTAAGTAAACCTTGAAAAACTCGAATCGTATGGTATCGAATTTAATTTTTTTTTAACTCTGACGTCGCTCCTGTCATTAGTGTCACGTGAAACTATTAGGCTACTTCCCATAATCCGACGAAGCTGAAATTCCTCCTAATCAGTATCTTAAGCAAAATTGGTATCAACATCTTGGCGAGAGTAGGTGCCACCTTTACTACTTCTATTTGCGACGAAGCAATCATATATTTCAGGTTAAAGGGTGAGATAGTGAGCTTCGATTTAGTCCCGGGTTATTTCTTTAGATGGTCCGTCTCACAATCCTACAGAACCTGACCATCATTGACAAAATTGACAAAAAGTTCGCGATAACGGAAATTGTTTGAATTGTGTTAAGCATGCGGCCGCTACTGGGGGGCATTGCGAGAACTATTATTCAACCGATCAAACAACAGAAGAGCCGCCGATAGTTGCTTCAGTCTCGCGCCGGCGCCAACATCGATCGTGTGATTCAGCGCTATCCGTGCAGTTATAAGAACCTTATTTCAACTATTTGGACATGCCCCGTTTTGCCACTGGGCTTCCTTCCTGTGAATCATGAGTGTGGCGTATAGCTGTGTTGGTGGCCTTACAGTCGGGCACGGGTGTATAGCACTCGCACGCTCGCGGCCTTTGTGAATACGCAACTACTCGTAAATGTCAATTAAATAATTAAACATTTAGATTTGTTTTTGTATTATAAAAATATTTTTTGTGTTTTGTGTATCTTTAACAGAGAAGTGCTTCGATAATGGAATTAGTCGTATTACTATTAACGTTTGCATCATTTTGGAAAGGTAAGTAAATGTTTTTCATAAATAAATTAAGAGTTCGGTCAAGATCAGATTTTCGAGAACAAAAATCTCTTGAATGATCCGTTCATTTATATTAAACAATGCAAGTAAATAAATACAATGCCATATTATGAAGTTAGTGTTCATTATCACAAGCACGTAAACGGTGTTATCAACACATATTGTCACATTTATAATATTGTTTTCATGATATCTATAAAAATTTACACATATTTTTATTTTTTACTTTGTGCTACTTACTTCTATAATATTTCTGTCTCTATCTTTATTTTAAACAAATTTAGAACCATTCAATATTTAAAAAAACAGAACTGAAAGATGTTTCAAGAATAAAAGCAAGGCGAATTAGAGATGAAACGATCCTAAACCTAATCTGTTAATTTAGCTTATTATTAATTGTATTTAAAATTGAGGCGACCATCTGCCATATCTTTTATTCAACGGTTTTAAAAGATATTCTGTATCTTTTTAGTCAACTTCAAAAGAAGTAGGTTCTTAATCCGGACCATATGATGTTCTTTTGTTCGTTGAAATCAATAATGTCATTTAATTGTAGAATTGTAGGATACGCCTGTAATTGTCTTTGATTCGCATGTTTCAGTAATCCAGAACATCGCATAAATAATACGATGAGTATTTTATTATACATATATATACCAAAGCAGTATTTTCCTACAGAATGATTTGCCTACATGAAATAGTAAAGTACATATTTGGGTGATTTTAATTATTTATTACACACTCTTATAACGGCCTCTTAAAAGGCATAAATACAAGAATGGGCACAATGGACAGTTAACGAACACCTGACCATAAACAGACATACTTATAAGAGAATTAAAATCATCCATGTGGGCAACGAACTTAATACATACATACATTAACGTCCGAACACATGTGGTTCAAAATTTTGTCACGTCTTTGTAGGCGTAACGAAGGCTAAATCGAACATAAACGAATCAAAGGTTCTCGATCGAGGATCGACACGATAAATTAAAAATCTAGCCTTTAATCCATTAAAATCTACCCACTACCGATAAAGTAGTTACGCCTTATTTTACAAACAAAAAACAATGTAACTATAATAATAATTATGATTTTTATTTTAATCGATAATTCCATAAATTGATGTATATGTATTATACTGAACTCCGAATGAGTTGAATGTCCGAATGACATGACATAATGTTAAGTGAAAAATATACCAGATACACAATTGCGACTTCCATATACAGGGTGTCCCAGAACTCATCGACAAGCCGAAACGGGGTGACAGGATTAATTTTAACAATCATGAGAAAAATCAGAAAAAATTAAACATCCTCTAACCCAGTGGTTCCCAAACTTATTTTGTCTACTGCCCATTTTAAGAATAAATTATTTTTAGCGTCCCCAATTTTTTCTACCTAATAAAAACCACTATAGCGAGAGCTCAGTCGTGTCTAAGAGTTCTAGATGAAATTAAAAATCGCCTCCCAAGCCTCTATACAACGCCCTCTATTTTTGTCTCGGTCTCTTACCGCCCCCATTAGGCCTGCAGCGCCCACAAGGGGGCGTTATCGCCCACTTTGGGAAAGACCGATTTAAACTTTGGAACCGTAACCCTAAATAGCGTTTCTAGAACCACAGTCAAAAATAAAAACTGGGGTAACCCGATTTTTGCTAGCCCATTTTATCAGTTCAACTGTTTTTTATTTGCACAAGCTCTTGGTAGCTGCATTGTGGGATCTATGGGCACCAGTTACAACGGAACAGTGATTGGAACAGAGATCAACTACAACACATAAATTACTAAGTCATCAGGATTGATTTTTGGTAAAAAAAATAAACAAAATTCAATGCTTTTTTTGGGTATACAAATGGTATTTAGATCGAAATCAATAAAAGAAAAAATATTCCTTATACGAGTATAATAATTATTATTATGTGGACAGTTTTTTTCACTTATAGCACTCACAACGGACGGTTTTGGCGTTATTCATAGATATTTATTATGTGCTCTCCGACAAATTATACTTTAATTGTTCAAAACGGCTTCATTCAATTGAACAGAGGTTATTCGAATTAATTAAGCGGTTAGATTTGCGAGGAATTCCGTCTCGACGATCATGAGAAACGAAAAATTCAAAATCCAAAGAATTCGAAGGTCAATTCTGGGCTGTAATGAAATCGTGGCTTCAAACAAATTAAAATTCTTTTGGAAAGAGTAATTGATGTACAGAAAAAATCATTTAAATTTCATTGTAAATTTTGTCCACACATATAATAATGGATGTAAAAATATTTATGGAAGCCAATTCATATTTTTTTAGTATTCGTTCCGGTAGAATAATCATGTTTTTAATACTAAGAGTATAACGTCGTTTGTTTGTAATCATTTTGGGCATTTCTGAGCAGTAACAATAGGAAAGACAGTATTGTGAATGTAACAACTGTAGCGGTGTTTCGCTACTTTGCTTACCGTTATTACAAGACGTATTGTGAACCTCAACAGGTAGGTAGCACCATTCTGTTTATGTCACGAAAAGTCATGCAACAACATTCACACTGCTTCCCTACTTACCCTTCCCTACTTAATCCCTCACAGCCTAAGAAGCTATTCCAACTACGGGTGGACTGGCTGATAAGATCACGGACCTACACTTAGGAGGACTTGCTAACACTAGCCCTAGCAAAAAAGTGCTTTGCTGAATCTACAACCGGATCGGAATCGCGACCCACTGAGAAGATCCGAGCAGAAACTCAGTGGGTTTTGTCTATGGGGAGTCCCGTAAGAAACAACAGCGGGAAAGCCGTGAACTTGTTCTTCGTCTGAAGAAAAAAAAATGACTAAGCAAAAGTCGAATAACACAGTCTCTAGTCAATTTTTTCTTTTCAAAATATTCTCTGAGTCACCGTGACTATGAGTTTACTGTCGCGCACAATAATTTCAAATTAAATACAAAAGCGAATCAATAGTTTCAGCGAAATTAGTTAATGTACTTATTATCCCTTAGCGTGACCGGACAGATAGTCTGGGTTCGTCATGATAATTTACGTGATCACGACTTATTAACTAGCTTCGTAATCAAATTAAGTACTTATTTAGGTCTTCACGCTTTTGTATATTGCCAGTATAGTATAGTCTTGTAGTAATAGTACATCGACTACATTTGAAAAATATTCGACGTGTTTTTTTTCAGCGGAATTTTCCGGGAACTGATAAAATAACCAATCATTTTGTTTACAGCCTCGACGAGCTTGCGTTGTTATCAATGCGATCCCGAAGACCCATACAAGACCAGTAACCTGTGCGAAAATTTTGACTACAGCGACAAATTCCTCGTCGAATGTCATTCTTCAACTATGTGCTTCAAGAAACAGACTAACCTACGGGTCGATAATGGAAGTGAGTTGATTAAATTTAATCATATCAATGACGAAAATGAATCGAATTGATACGATACTGATATATGATTTATCGTGACGATGGTAATAGACCCTGATGTTACGTAACGTGCGTTAGTAGTTTCCATGTATGAACATTCAACTACTACACTTAAGGAAAAATGGTTTACTTTTAATATGGCAACACAACTAAACAACTTTTTATACAACTTATTTAGAAACGATTTAAAAAAAAACTGGGCGCGTAGGACCTAACCGAGAGCTCCGTTTTTCTTCCTAGGATCTTTCGATTTCCTGTACCAATTTTGAGACTAGTTTTATTTTTCTGATTAGTTTTCCCTGTAAAGCACGAGTGAGTACAATATTATAACATTTTAACATCAGTAGAAAAACGTGATTTCCTGTAAGTAATGCACATACATTTTTGCGCAAACAAAAACATTATTGTTCATGACCAGGATACAGGAAAACCGTATTAAATTATTCGAATTCAAAACCAGAATTTTGTGATTCCTTCGAAATAAATGTCAATTATTAATTTTAAATGTCTAAGTCATATTTGCATTCTCAATTACGTAATACAGCACGTATTTGGTACAAGATTCTCGTTTTCTATTACATATATGATATTTATGAAATAAGAAATTTTAATATTTCATAACAAATAAAAATATTTAAGAAATATTATAATATTAATAATAAATTAATCTACTTAATCACATAATATGGCCGCTTTCATATAAATGCGTGAAAGTAGACTATAATATGGTATATTTAGCGAGTTAAATATTTAAAAACATTTCGAAAGAATTTTCCTTTCTATTAGATTTAGATTTATATTTTTTTATGCTACGTTATGTAACATTAGTAACCAGTACCGAATATTGTTTTTTGGCAACGTTGCTTTTTATTGTCATGTCAAAAATGTCCTAAGGTAACCTAGCTCTCCGGCAAAATTGATCAAATGTCGTTTAAAACAAAAAGTTTTTAAATTTTTTTATTAGCTTAAAGATCCGCTGTTATATTTTACATTCAAATATTCAATATAGTTTCAGAAATATTCAATATGCAAGCATCATAAATGATATTTCAGATATACTCTGCGTTTCGATTCGCGTAAAATTTTAGAATAATTATTGGGAGCGTGCTTTAAATGAGGGCTCACGTTATATCAGCTGTATTTGGTTGCGAAAAGTGTAATTTTATTGCGATAAAGTCACTATCACAGCGAGATAAAGTACGTCATATTAAAATTTGTTAATGGCAACGTGCATACTACATACATAGAAAAAAAAGACTAATAAAGAGACTAGTAGGTTTCTAGTAGTTTTCGATAGGCAGCGGCTTGGCTCTGCCCCTGGCATGGCTGAAGTCTATGGGCGACGGTAACCACTCTCCATCGGGTGGGGCGTATGCTCGTCTGCTTACAAGGGCAATAAAAAAATTTGTAATTCTAAATTGCGAGCTTGACTGTTCGAAATACGTTTAAATATGTTATTTACAAATATGTATTTACTTATAGCTTGTGGTATACGAGTATGGTAACCCGATAACGTCAGACGAGTCTAATTGCCCATGAAAAACAATAAATGATGTTTTTTTTTTCTTTCAAGTGAACTCCACGGGAATTCAACGTGGTTGCGCGTCGCAAACTCTGAACGGCGAGCAGAGGAAAATCAATGGAAAATGGCAATACGTTTCGACGATTTACGACGCATACAACGCGACTTGCTTCGAAGACCCGAGTGACTCAGAGAGGGTGACAAAAACCATTTATTGTTACTGCGAGGGAGACAAATGTAACGGAGCTATCCAATTGACCCTCAACTCTTTCTTGGTTCTTATTTTAATTTTCATTTCGCTAAATTTTACAAGTTAATGAATTTTTAATGCTAATACATTAAACTATTGAAAATCGATATCTTATAATGAAAATGCCATAATGATCGTTTAAAAATTATTTTAAAAATATATACGAGAAGCTTAAAGCTTATTATTGTAGAAAAATTAGAATATATTAGATAGCTAGATTAGATGGTTTAGTTGCGTTAATGTTTTACAGGTATAAATACCTGAATCGTAACAAGGTTTTATTTAAGCTTAATTTCACGTAGCTTTAAATATCAGTTTTCAGTACTCATTTTAAAAGCATAAATTAATATTCATCCAAAATACTGGTTTCACCTTTTTATCATTATTTTTTATTGCATTACACATCGTGTTAATAAGACACGAATGGTAATTGTGAAGGCCATGTTTTAAACTATCTATTTTTCAGCGATTACAATAAGTGTTGTATTAATTTTAAGATAATTACTGTTTTGCGATTTTATTTTTTCTTTTATTAATAAAATTATGTATTCGCTAAAATATTATGGAAGGGGCCTTAACGTCTCAATCAGTAAACATGAATATGTATGTGCATTGTCTACACGAGGCGGACGAAAATTTTTTTATAAAAAAACAACTCATATGAAAATTGTCACAAAACGTAAACTACCCTTAAGTTTTTATACCAAAAAAAAAACAACAAATTAAAATATAAATGTTTCATTTTATACCAACACTAGTCATACGTTAATACATAGTAAATAGTTATATTAAGACTGTTAGCTCTTGTGTTTAATTACCATTGATAATAGAAGTAAGAGGATACGGAACAAGGTCAGGTAAGGCATGGTGTAGCGCTACTGCTGATTATGGCATCCCAAAGCCACAGTGACGTATAAACATAGCGATAACAACATTCAGAAATTTTCGTAACGTTATTTCTTTACTTGGGAGAAGACCGTCTTTAGGGAATTACTGTACTAAGAAAAATTTACAGTTTCCTTTTTTATACGCCAAAATAATTCGTGAAAAGAAAATGTACAATAACGTTTTAAAGTACAATCGGTGGTCTTATCACTTGAAGCGCTTGAGACAATGGATAAAGTTTTAATAAATTGACAGAACTTTTGATGCAATTTCACCAACACAGCTATAGACGTGGCAGATCCTTTAACTTTTACTAATTGATAATTATTGGTTTAAAAACAATATTGTGTCACGGTATTATGAGTTTAATTTGAAATATTAAGAGCGTTTTAACTGAATGTAATTAATTTTGATAATATGTGCCTTGAATAAAATTCTTTTAATTTGTGTGCGTCGTCTAAAATAATGTAGTAATTTGTTAATTATATGACATTATTGCTTTAAATTAAAAATAAATCATTCCTTGGAGCGGATGTTTGTTGTTATGATTTTACCTTCAATCAATTATGTTTTGTTTATCTATATACATATATAAAAATGAACTGAATGAACACATCGATTACATACAACAAAAAACTAAAAAATAGGATGTGGTTTTCCTTGAACGACGATCTTGCCATAGATAAACAATCGCCAGTTCTAATGTTAAAAGTAAAGCATTCACAAAGTTTGTGAAGAAATTAGAAACTGTAGCAAACCGACCGGTACGTCACTCTCGCGGCCGTATGCCCGCTCGCTATACATAGTTAGCATCTATGTCAATCTTTTCAACAGTGTATAATCTATGTTCCGGGCGCTTCCGTTTTGAGTGTGAATAGCGTGCGCCCGCGTCTAAATGTATTTATTGTTTAAAATTGAAATTGTTTGTGATAAAGGAAGATTAAAATTCGAAAGTCGATATTGGTGACTAACCCATAGTTTTAAATACCCCTGAGATCTACCCCTCACTATAAAACTCTTTTATAAAAGGCTCAATAATTAAATTAAACTCAATAATTAGTTAAAGTAATGGTAATCTATATATATAAAAATGAATTGCTGTTCGTTAGTCTCGCTAAAACTCGAGAACGGCTGGACCGATTTGGCTAATTTTGGTCTTGAATTATTTGTAGAAGTCCAGAGAAGGTTTAAAAGATAAAAAGATAAATATGAAAATGATCGGAATTAAATAAAAATAACAATTTTGTTTTTCCTTTGATGTGTCCCCGTCGGACGAATTCCTTTTGTTTGTTTTAAGTTTATTTTATACAAAAGTTTAGGTCTTTTATTTATCGATTGAGGCACTACGAATAAATAGTTCGAGTAAATATGGAATATTACTTCCGTGGGCTTACATCATCGCGTCGATAATAGAGTTATAGGATCTTATATGACAATATTGTTACGCCGGCGTCGGTAAGAGCAACGCCATCTATCGTCGAATAGCAGAAACGAATATCATAAGACCTAGTAAAATCGAGAACGTTCGAGAAATACAACGCCATCTATTGTCAAATGGCGGACTCATATCGAAAATGCTTGTGAGGAATGTTTTCGATAATTATAGGGATGTCTTTTCGACTATAAAAGCGTTTCAGGGATGCCACGAAGGCAGTTAGTAATCGGATCTACTCGAAGTGAAAGAGCGAACGGATCAACTGAAGCGAAGCGAAAAAAGCGAATTACGAATTGTAAGGTGCTCTGTAAGTGTTCTGAGTATTAAATAAAGTTTTAGTTTTGTACCTTGGTGGAACTATTATTTATCCCGAACCCCAGCGCGTAACAATATGTACACCTAAAATTACTCATACTAATCTCCAGTACTACTAGTTTCTTGAGTTTATCTATCACACGGTCCCGGCTATTCTCGCCTCGACGCAGTTAAGCGTTCTAATCCGAATAATATCCTCCGCTCGGATCGCAATTTTTCGATCTGTTTTAAACTGGGTAACGGCATATCTGGGGCTGTCCATGGTTTCGAATACCGCTCATCATCAGGTACTAGTATTATCTAGGCCAATAAGAGAGAGCTGATCAAGTGTTGGAAGTTTTTCCGCGGTTTTCCGCTATGTCATTTCAAAGGGTTATTGACAGGTATAATGCTCTCAGGGTGGCCGAAGACAGGACGAGATGCCACAATATCGTAGACGAAACTCATATATGGAAGTGGTCACGACCCTCAGACATGAGAAGCACGACTGAAGGAGAAGGAGAGGCAACAAACAAATATAAGATCTCTTTGTTGAATCGAAGAAAACCAGTTACTTGCTGCCGAGATATATTAGATAGATGATTAGATTTATTTTGGATTTAGATTAGATTTATTAGATGATTAGATAAATAAAATAAATTAAATTTCGTCTTCATATCCTAAATTTGGTGATAAGCAATGTCCACGTTAATTTCTTTACTTTACATTCACTATTTTTAGGGTAAGCTATAATTCTTAATTCGATCAGATGGATCTAGCTATGCTAATAGATCGGAGTCAGAAGAATCTTCAATTAATTAAAACGACAGTCAAGCGATTTCCGAATTTTGTAAAATGTTATGTTTTTTTTTTTTAAATGAATAATAAAACCTATTTCGGTCCTAGGCTACTAATTACAATATTGTAATTTACAAAACATAAACGTAACGTAAGCCTTACATTACTGCACAATTATAACATGTAGTAGTTCCTTCTCCTGAATTATAATTTTTTAAGATTAATTGTGGTTTCAATCAACGTAAGTATGTTTAAATTCATTATTCAGTAGGTAAATGACCATAGAAAAAGGTACTCACGTTTGCGTGATTCTCGACCAGACACAGAAAGACGACGTCCTCACGCATCAGTCTGACGGCTCCGTGGAGGGGTTGCGGGGTTTTGCTCTTCAGCATCCGATAGAGAAGCGCTGATGACATATGCGCGAAATCATCGCCTGTCAAACAGAAAAATATTCTCACCATTCTATTTTATGACACAACTTCCTTTAGATGTTGGGGTTCACGTTACAAAGGAGATTTAGGCAGTGCGCAAGTAGCATGGTGAAATCATTTCCAATTAATTATTTGCTTATATAATGGTGGTGTATTTTTCCCTTGCTTATTTGCTGGTAGTCTAGTGGACTATTCCAGCTACGCCCTGACTAGTAGATGAGCTCAAAGTCTCAACATGAGAGAAATTGCTAACACCAGCCCTAGCAAGAGCAGTGCTTCGTAGAATCTAACATCGGATCAGAACCGCGACAGATTGAGAAGATCGAATAGTGATTGCAGAGCCACAAACAGTGTATATAGGATAACATCCAGTCTGATTTTTACTACAAAGTAGTAACATGTTCAGGTTTGGAGAGTAACTATTAACATTCACCATCTCTGGCGAGTTCTACACTCGCGTCAACTGGATAGTTTGTCTGTCAATAAACTTTGGTAACGTGAAAAAAAAAATTCATATCAGTCAAATGGTGTATGTACCTGTTAGATCATCCCAATGTGCAGAAATAAGTCCTGAACAGTGTTCTTTCAGTGCGTTGGCGCCAATCTCATCTGCTGCTGAATAGAACTTAACACAGCTCCTGTTAGAAATAATAATATTATTGTAAGTTCTGGACGAAACAGATCAGCTCTTATACTGAGANTGGTAACGTGAAAAAAAAATTCATATCAGTCAAATGGTGTATGTACCTGTTAGATCATCCCAATGTGCAGAAATAAGTCCTGAACAGTGTTCTTTCAGTGCGTTGGCGCCAATCTCATCTGCTGCTGAATAGAACTTAACACAGCTCCTGTTAGAAATAATAATATTATTGTAAGTTCTGGACGAAACAGATCAGCTCTTATACTGAGAGTTCTATCTACTAATTTAAATTAGGAAAATAACTAGAATAGTCCAGGCATGTTTGATTTATATTGCCAATTTTGGAAATAAATACACACACACACACCTGAAAGTTGATATAAAATTCTTAATAAAATTGTCTTCAGCTGTCCCAACCATCAAATCAGAACACATGAATGTTTCTCTGCTACAGATACAGGCAAATGTTGTATCTGCCCATGTAGTCTTGTAATAAACTCTACCACCAGTAACTGGCAGTTGGGTATCGCAATTATCTGGTGGCATATATTTAAGTTGCAACCCATTCTTTTGCCACCCACAAGAGAAGATGGTACTATTATAGGCTGAGACTACACATCCAAATTTTTACCCAATAGCTGAATATTATAAGAAAGTGTTTAAAGAGATGCATCTGTACTAATATATAAATCTACAGTAGTTTTTACGGATGTTCCATTATAACTACTAAACCGTGCATTCGATTGACTTGAAACTTGGTACCAATGTAGAAAATACATGTACTTAATGGATAGGCTAATATTTATATGAGTGTTGAACTCCCTACACCAGTTGCAGGGGCGTTAATGATGAGAATCTTTGTGGGGGTGGGAAATAATAATGTTAATTTTAAATGCCCAGCGAAGCAGACGGTTACAGCTACGGTAGTTAAATAAAAGTGCTTTATTTCTCACCTTACACCAACCGATGCAATGAGAGCTTGTTCGCACTTATTCACCAGGCCATACAATTTGAAACCTGCTGCAGATTTCATCAGTTGTAAAGCAAAAGAGTCTCCTCTACTTAAATCAACAACATCTGTGTACAGCCATTTCAATAGGGCTGACCCTACATCATCTGGTAGAGACGTCCAGTCTGAAAAAAATCAAAAAAAAAAATCAACACATATCACAACCACACAATTTATTGGAATCTTATTATACTTTCCACTTTTCATTTTCAATTAAGAAAATAAGTTGTAAAAATAAATTTACAAACCTAATTCATCAAAGTCTTTTAGAGCTTCTTCATTCCAGTCATCAGAACGAGCATTCAGAACAAATTTATGTCCCGGCATGGATTTGTTTTGCAGTTTGATCTTGATGTCAGAGTAAGTTTCTCTACCATATAGTGTAGCTACGGTCATTAGAAGTCGAGCCACAAAGCTAGTTTCACTGAGGTCGCCGGCGGATGCCGCTGCCAGAGTGTACTTTCGCTCTACCTCAGCACAATGACTCTGCAGTTTCCCATACTCTTCCTTTAGCAACGTCAAATGTTGTTGTAGCTTCGTCACCTCGCTGGAAGCTAAGCAAATACACATGATCACAAAATTATCCAGTCGCAACACCACCCACTCTTGATTACAATTTTGATATAACATTTCAGTCTAACTCAACTCACCCATGACGGAAGTTTTTGCAACACCTGGAAACCGCTTCACTTTTGGCTGATTGAAGAAAGTTGGATAAGAAAATAATTATTCCATTGATTGATAAAATACAAATAACTGAAATAACAAATCCCTTAATGTCAACAATCTCTATCATTTGTCAATGCCAGTTTTTTTAAAAATCTAACCATGATCAAACATATAAGATAATACAGCCTATTAAATCAAAACTTAACAGCCTATTAAATGGAAACAGTATTATAGAATAGATTGTAGAAATGTAATTGAATGACTTAGATTAAATAAAGAATAAAAAATAACATCATAGGTGACGCATAAGTACGCCACTTAAATGGGCGAAGGAAGAAGTCAAAACAATCAATTTGTAGAAAGGTAAAGCATATATTTAAATTGAAAAACCAAATGTAGTTTTATTGTATGGATTAAGATGAAATGAAATAAGACGGAAATGCAATATAAAAAAATAGAATATATTTAATTTGAATGTGTTATTAATATTTTTTACGTAAATATAATTTGTATCTTCTAGATCTTATATTAATCTGAAGAGTAATTTCAATGCAAATGAGCTAAATCCACTGAAGTAGGAAACCTATAGGTCTATGGCTAAATCAGGCTCAATTTCTTCGTCAATGACATTTGTGACATTTTCAGTTAAGGTCATGCTCAATAGATGTCACTAAACCTCCAAAATCTATTCTCAAGCCGAGATAACCTTCAAGTGATTTTGTCAATCTTGATGATAACAAGGTGTTTTTTTTATCAATTCTGTATAATTTAGTTCAGCAATTGTTTAGGTTGGCTTCTCTTGTTTAACAGCTATCATGAATTCCCTTAATAAGTTATCAGTTTATAGTAAATTAGTGCCGAAAAATGCCAGGTAATTCACTTTGTCATTTGTAATGTTTTTTTCTTAATTTGTGACATTTTAAATAATGTGAATATGTTTAAAGGGTGATATCTACAAGTGCACTATTAAACACTGACGATGGATGGTTTTCGAAATTACTAGTTCGAAGAATCGAACCGACAAAAGAGTCACACAGTCGAATGCTTAGTGACAAGGAAGTAATTTATGCTCTTCATACACACAACATAAGACCGGATTCAGTGGACAACTATTTAAAAAATTAGTATGTATTTATTTTGATATCCTTATGTAAGTTTGTCACGGATTGGCATTCACTAGACCACGTATGACCTGTTATGCAACATTCCGCAAATAGAACATAACGTTATGAATCGGCGACATCGCTAGCGCACGTAATTGTTTACAGTTTTGTTATCTTATTGAACCTTGACTAAAATCTATTAAATGGACCTGCTTTTATAAATGTTAGATACAAAAAAAAGTGAAAAAACTTTTTCAAAAATTTACTTTGTAGTAATATTAAAAAGAATAATAATGTGCAATAAAAAAATAACTTCCCAATTTTGGTCAAAGGATATGAGCCTGTTTGGACAAGCACTCATATCCTTTCATAAATCTGTAAAATAAAGTGAATATAGTTGATGAATGTACTGGTGATTTATGACAATATGCATTTCTAAAGAAAAAAACAATTATGTTTTTTTAATATTAATGACATACTACTTCTTAAAATATTTCTTAACCTGTAAAATATAATTTTATTTAATTAATTTTAATTTTTAGCAAGCAGCATGTAGATCTAATACATTCACACAAAGCAGAACTTGGTTGTGAGCTTGTAGGATCATGGACAGTATCAGTTGGAGATATGGACCAAGCTCTGCATTTATTCAAATATGTTGGTGGATTTGAAAAAATTGACAAGGCCAAACAATTGTTTAAACAAGATTCTGTAAGTTGTAAAAGCAAACATTTAAATGTTGATTTCTCTGTTTAAACTCCTGGGGAAAAAATAGGACTGTTTTGTTTTTTCTCTTAATCTGTGATTATATTACTATTTAATCTTATCATTTGCCACTCGATGTGCTGACACAATCAAATGAAATTTGTCCTCAAACATATTTATAGTAGTAAAAATAAAGCTCTGAATTTCACTAGTAAAATTTGCCTTTTTAAGTTGAAAGAAGGTGTGCATTGCATCATTAATTGCCGTAATTCTAAGGACTGAATATTAACCTGGGATTTTTAGTCAACTCCATAGTACTATCCATAAAAATTTACAAAATTTACAAATTTCTTATCTAATAAATTTATTGATCATGATAAAGTATATTGATAAAATTAATATTGGGGGGTGAAAGACTTTTTTTAAGTGACATTTTGCTTAACATGTGACATTTATCTTTGTAATTAAAGGTGTGTTTTATTTAGTATTAGCATCAACAGTTTGATTATAGTACATACGTTATCAAATAAAAACAATCTTTCTATTACATTTTTGGGTGGATTTGAGAATATGACGAAATATTGAAATTTCCTTGTTCTTAAATGCCAATGAGCATAAGAACTGCAAAATCTCAGTGGTTTCTATCTCTTATGGTTAGAAAATGACACATTCCCGCATGACTATAATATTCAAAGAATGTCCAATATGTTGCAATTTCCCTGAGTTAAAGTAGTCTTTATTTAACATTCTTCCTTATTTATTCAACATATTGGCTGCTTTTTCTATAGAGTTACCAATTGCTAGAAAGTGAGAGAGGCAAAATGGTCAGGTCCAGACATCTCCAATACTTGCTAGCTTTCAGCTTTTGGCCAGCTGGAGAAGCACGGTCTCCCAACAACATCTACGAAATACGATCATACAGGTAATTTTAGTTTATTTAATTCCCTTTCTATTCTTTCAAATATTTACCTACACTGCATTTTACATTTTTTTTGGGATAAAAGCTTCTTATGCAGGTCTTTATCCAAACTATATGGGGTCAATGCAGTATGTGCTCTCTTTTCATTAAGGGCTATCATATGTTATCTCTGCACTCGTACTCTTCCCTCGCATATCTTCTTTCACGCAGTCATCTGAGTCTTTTTAGTATACACCCTCGTAATAATTTATTGTATAATTTAATACACAAGGCCTTTTAGTATTTTAATGAAATANTTCTTATGCAGGTCTTTATCCAAACTATATGGGGTCAATGCAGTATGTGCTCTCTTTTCATTAAGGGCTATCATATGTTATCTCTGCACTCGTACTCTTCCCTCGCATATCTTCTTTCACGCAGTCATCTGAGTCTTTTTAGTATACACCCTCGTAATAATTTATTGTATAATTTAATACACAAGGCCTTTTAGTATTTTAATGAAATAGAAGCATTTGCCCCATATTTCACTAATCGTTTTCCAATGTTATAACATTTCCTATTAGTTTATTTGTCACTAATTACTAATTACAATGAAACAAACCCTACCGGTCCGCGCGAAGTTGGAATAGCCCCTTAAGCTACCAACGATTAGGTAGCATAAAAGAAAAAAAGAAAAGAAATTCTATATGTAAGCTCAGACTCATCTCAATACATCAGAATTTGTAGCCTTGACAAATTTGTTGCAACTATGCACCTATTTAAAAGTACAAAAATCTATCAAGTAAACTTATGCTGGAGGATTCGGTTAATGGTGTATGTGCATCATAGCATTTATTTTTTGATTTTGATTCATGAAAAATAGTTGAGCCTATGGAATCCTTCTGGAGTGTTCCGTAAACCTAAAGTAATTTATGAACGTTATGTTTTAGTTTAAAACCTGGAACTATGATTGAGTGGGGTAACAATTGGGCGCGTGGCCTTACTTACCGACGCGCGCAAAACGAGGCGTTTGCGGGCTATTTCTCACAAATTGGCCGATTATACAATGTTCATCATATTTGGTGTAAGTATGTTTTGGCGTCCATGCTCTAATGGGTGAGACGATCGGCGTATTGTCGTGATTAAAATTGTAGGGCTAGGTGCCTTTTTTTACTATATAAAACATATATTAAAATAATACTAGAACAGATGGATAAAATCGTGGAAAAATATATATAAACACCAGGAAAACCTAATTTCTTGTTATAATAATTATCGAGCATATGTACTCCACACCTAAATTATAATGGTAGTGCTAACAATTTTTCATTTATAAGTATATGTAAAATAGTACCTACCTACTCTCGCTAGTAAGTGCGAGAATTAATCTCAAAATATATTAGTTTCTACATTTTTTGGTCGTAACAGACGACCTTGCGCCTACATGGCATGACATTCACGTAGAAACTATTGTATTCGATACCAGGGGCTGTCTTTGTGGACAAAATCTTAATTCCAAATTATTAACTATTGCCATATAATAAATCGTTATTAAAACTCATTTTACTAGTATTAATTATTTCTGTATATAATTTGAGACGTTTTGAATACTTTAAAGTTTACATAATTTTTATAGTGTTTTTTATTATTAATAAAGATAAAGGGATGCAATTAAAAGGTTTTGTTTTTTCAATTTCCAGGCTATAAAGATTTGCAAGCTCGTCGTGAAACTAGAGAGAGTACATGGCGTAATCCAGGCTGGGATGAGTGTGTCGCGTACACGGTGCCACTGATCAGAGAGATGCACTGTCGTATTTTAGAACCCACTGAATTCTCTCCTACGCAATAATCGAATCGACGGTAGTGCGGCTCCCAGATTGTAAGTCTCCCCCTTAACTGAGACGGAGCACTTGCGGTGCTGCAAGATGGTGTCATTTCTGGCTCTAAAAATACTATTTCAATATATTTTTAATGTTTAACTTGTAAGTAATGAGATGGCAAGGATACATTAGCAGTTACTGCAATAGTCCAAAAATGAAAATATATTTTTAATGCAATATCAAATGTCGTCCATCCTGTTACCCGCAACTATCTCAAGAAACGTCTCAATTAAAGGGTTGATTTACTCATACAATAGATTAATAAATCTTGAAAAGTCTTAGTTACTAATCAAACGGTCTGAGACCATGGTTCTTGATGACTATTTCTCGTCGTGAATCGTGATATGACTTAAAGAAGAAAAAAATCTACGAAATCCTTGAATTATTTTATTTTTTCATTAATTCGATAAGGGTATATAATACAATAACGAATACGAAAACGTCAACAAAATATCTAAAAGAAATTATCTCGATAAAACTTCTAATAAATCTTATTCTGTAATTAATTGTATGTACGCTATTATATATAAGTTCAAATATCGTAATAAGATTTCAAACTGCAACTATGAATTAAGCACAAGTATGGCATGTTGTTTTAAATAAACAAATATACTTTGAAACTGAAATCAACTTTTCTAGTTTAGTTTTTTTTTTATTACAGCATTTATTAAATCGTTTCAATCTTAATATTTAGTATTTTTACACCAATAGAATAAACTATGATTTAACTAAGTTTTTTTTTAAATATAATAATATTGTATATTCGACACTGTTGGTAAATAGAAATCAGTTTGTTAAAATTTTGTGTTTGAAATTGTTATTATTATTATATTTATTACTATAACTGTAAGGGTCAGTTAAGAACCATAATATATTCCATATGGAATCCTTGATATTTAATAATCCAGTCCCCGCTCCTACCTTAAATCCACCCGAACAGTATTTATTCCTAGTACTTGAAATTGGTATATTTTTTACTGGTGATAGGATCTCTTGTGAGTCCGGGTAGGTACCACCACCCTGCCTATTTCTGCCGTGAAGCAGTAATGCGTTTCGGTTTGAAGGGTAGGGCAGACGTTGTAACTATACTTGAGACCTTAGAACTTATATCTCAAGGTGGGTGGCGCATTTACATTGTAGATGTCTATGGGCTCCAGTAACCACTTAACACTAGGTGGGCTGTGAGTTCGTTCATCCATCTAAGCAATAAAAAAGAAAAAAAATTGGAAATACATTTCGAACGCGAGTATAACACCCAGGTGATAATTTCGATCTATAACTTGAAAAAAAACCAAAGCACATTAAAATATGTATTTAATGCCAAGTAGACTAGGCGTATGTTATAAAAGCCTTGCTTTTAAACTAATCAAAATTATCACCTGTTCCCAGGTTAACTTTGTGAGCTCACTTACCAGTCCGCGCGTAGTTGGTATATTCCCAAAGCTACTAACATTTAAAAAAGTCATCTATTTGTTCTACGCATTCCCGAAGGATAGTAACCACTCACCCTCGGGTGGGTTGTAGGCTATCTCCCATGACAACGATAATCAGTGCAATAAAAATCAGCTTTAGTTTTCCTTCTATTATTTATTTTCACTTTGATTTTTTTCATTAATAAGATTATATTACAATATAATAATTAATGATAATAATTATTAAAACTACAAGTCGATTGTGTTATTTAAATATATATAACAAAAAATAAAATAAAATAAACAACGGCGCACCAAACGTGCCGCAAACTATTCTCTGTATTAAAATGCGGCCGTCGTAACGCACCATGTTAATTCTCTGTCAAAATATCTAACTATCGGTGATACAATAAACGACTATACAATGGTAAAATATAAAAAAAAATTATATCGTTACAATGTACATAATAATAATACGTGACCTCTAACTACATGTTTGGTACTTCTATTTCGTTTGTGTAATGTTAGAAAAGCGTTAAATTTGATAAGATCAACTCTAATCAGCTAAGTGGTGGGAATCATGGATAGAAAACAGTAATCTACAAACTATACTCGCACCTCATCCAGTTACAAATTAAGTTCACAAGAGGAATCACTTTTGTTCTTTCTTTCGGAAACTAGGAAGGTTGAATACCCACGAACCAAGACACAGCAAGCCTTCAACTACGCATCAACATTTCTTGTAGCGAAAATCTACTGTACACAAGCGAATGCTACATACAGCTTCACGATTCAATTCCATAGTGCATCGATTTCAAGTAATTCGAACCAACTGAGTACAGCCGTGGGTGTGCTTAGTGCGAATTTTTTAAAGTCCTCGATATATAAATATATATTTTTATTGCTTAGATGAGTGGACGAGCTCACAGCCCACCTGGTGTGAAGTGGTTACTGGAGCCCATAGACATCTACGACGTAAATGCGCCACCCACCTTGAGATATAAGTTCTAAGGTCTCAAGTATAGTTACGACGGCTGCCTCGCCCTTCAAACCGAAACGCATTACTGCTTCACGGCAGAAATAGGCAGGGTGATGGTACCTACCCGCGCGGACTCACAAGAGGTCCCACCACCAGTAAAAGTTAGCTCATATTTGTATGGAATGGGATCGTTTGCGTACGTTTGCCGCTAGGGGCGCTGTTCCAACTGCATACAAAATTGGGTTAACTTTTACGCTATCGAGAACGTTAAGAAACTCGCACTAAGCATACAGATTCATCAGTATTTTATAAATACTACAAGAAGAAAAAAAATTATATTTCAACTATTGTTGTGATTCAATTGTATAATTTCGAAGCTGTACTCTGCTATTAAAATCTTTTAAATTTATTATACATTTAGAACAAAATGACGAGTCGAGTTAGGCTGTAATCTATAGATTATTGTCATTCACTTGGTCATTTCAGAAAGTGGAAATTTGTGGAGGTAAAAACTAGTTTTCTAATTTTAACAGTGTCGCAAACTCGCGTCTTGCATTATCTAATATAAACGAAGCAAATTGTATAAAGAATCGAGGTAAGTATGTGACACTGCTGCAATAATATCAGCGTTCACTAAGTTTTGAAACTAGAAAATTCTAATTAATAAAATAAATCTGCAGCAGATTTAATTAATTAAATACAATTACGATCACATCGTGTGATGCTTACAAGCAATGTGATAATAGGAAGAAAACATTATTAATCATAATATAAAATAAAATTTAAAATAGTATTACCTAAATTTGGATATTTATGACTAAAATCAGAGTTAAATTAAATATTATGTATTCATCTATACATACATGACTGGTAAGAAGCTTAGTAGACATTACATTTATGTATAAGAGCACTAAATTCGATAGTAAATAAAGATAGCACGTGTTCCGGGCGGGCACGTGCACAAACGCCGCGCTCGCACGTTACGCGAGTAACAAACTATCTACGTAATTTAATATTATTAATTCTTATATACAATCTGCCGAAGCCCACGCGCTCCTCCATTTTCTAAGGCAAACGGTGTGGTCACTAATACTTATATAATACTTTATATTTACAAAAAACAATTGGCAGTCGGTTGTTCATTACTACGCTTACAAAAGCACCTGCTCTTAATTAATTTATAAAACGCGTCACTCGTTAATTGAATATTAAAAGACTAATTTCGATAATAATTACCAACATGGAAACTTTAAAAAAAAAAAAACCATTCCAGGCCAATAGACAAATATAAAACTTTTCGCTTTTTTTAAATACATAAAACTTTTTACATGAAAATTTGTTTCTTAAAAGTAAACTAATGATATGAACTTCACAATTTTGACTATCTAAACGTAAATAATTCTCTGTTCGAGCGTGTTCGTGCGCATGTGGGTAGCGCGCGGGTCTCGGCTTGCTATTAGCATACGTACACACACGCCTTNAGGCCAATAAACAAATATAAAACTTTTCGCTTTTTTTAAATACATAAAACTTTTTACATGAAAATTTGTTTCTTAAAAGTAAACTAATGATATGAACTTCACAATTTTGACTATCTAAACGTAAATAATTCTCTGTTCGAGCGTGTTCGTGCGCATGTGGGTAGCGCGCGGGTCTCGGCTTGCTATTAGCATACGTACACACACGCCTTTCGTCTAGACCAGGCCTGGGCAAATAGCGGCCCGCGGTTAAATTTTGTCTGGCCCGTGAAGCATTGTATATATTATTATTAAAAACACAAATATTCGTTTTTATCTAACTTAAATTGGTGCATACATTTTTTTAGATAAAATATTAAGAAATACTGCAATACACATTATCGGGGCCGGTGGGAGCCAAAATTTTCACCCGGACAACCGCTGTTTTCAGCGCTTCCTATTCGAAAATATAATTATGATAATTGAATAATTACAGTATGTATAATAGTCGCACAATATAAAATTAGAAAAAAAAACTGGCCCGAGGTCAAATTTTCATCTGTAATGTGGCCCGACTATCAAAATATTTACCCACACCTGGTCTAGACAATGCGTTCTGTCAAACTTCTTAAACATAAACCTTCAAGACGTTTAAGTTAACAAGTCGTTTTGACGTTCACCAAATTCGTACCGTTTTACAATTGAACTTTTCTAATCTTGCCGATGCGTTAACAAGATGAAAAATCAGCGGCTAGTTTTTCACTACGAAAACTTAATTTAAGTTATCGAAAATAAGACGAGATATACTATGTAACAGCTTTGCCACTTTTATACAACCGTTCCGTCGTTTTCAAGCTCAAGCACAAACTTACATTACATCTCAAGTGTTGTTGGACGGCCAAATGTTTTTTTTTTATAAATGAGAAAATTTACTTAACACTAAAGAGATCGAATAACAAGCTCTCGAATTTTTTTAGTGACTCACAATTTCTAGTATCAGTCAACGTGAATTGCACAAATTGATACGGTATTACTAATTTAGAAAAAAAATTAAAAAGAAAACAAAAAAAACATTTGCTCGTGCATAAAATCGACGGAACAGTAATGTATTACGATTAAAAAATTCTACTCGAAAAGCGTATCTTTCTACGGCAGGTTTCCTAACCATCACACTTTTGCACACGACCGTAGTTAGCTCAACTCTCAACACACAAGATTTCTCGACACTAGAAACATAACGTTGCGTTCACTCTTAGCAATAACAAAAAAAAACCATTGTGCTTAGTGAGAGTTTTTTAACGTTCTCGATAGCGTAAAAGTTAGCCCCTATTTGTATGGAATGGGATCGTTTGCGTACGTTTGCCGCTAGGGGCGCTGTTCCAACTGCATACAAAATTGGGTTAACTTTTACGCTAACGAGAAAGTTAAGAAACTAGCACCAAACGCACATATCAACCACGCTTGAGGCGAATCCTTCAAAAGTATTCTATCTCATTCTCTCGCGAGTTATTCTATGGATGAACGCGATTCCCATTGTAGCGTCATTTTATAATTATATCGCATTTTAAATAGCAGTTAAATAAATTTTCACATCAAAATCTGCTTATTGTATTTTTATCCTAAAGTACATTTTGCATCATCAACCTATTAAATTTGTTGTAAACGTGATTATCAGACTTTATGCCTCTAATGTCGAGATTTATTTACAATAACTGACCGTCACGCAACAATATATTTATGAGCATATTTAAAAATAAAACACTATAATTTAAACATGGTCTAAAGGAATTTGGTAAAGTCTTGATGTTAACTGAACTGAAAATGAAAATAAAAACTGGTAATTAGTTTATTTAATATATTGTTGCGTGGGCAATAACTCGACGAACGAAATCATTAAATTATTGAATATTTAAGTATTCAAGCTATATTCGTTTAAAAGAAAAACCTTGCACAATATAGCGAAGATTCAATTTCACCAAAAATATAGATAGATTTAGAAAATGGTCATTGCATCTAATGCATGGCTATACAGTGGTAGATATAAATCCGTTTGGTTGAAAACAAAATGCCGTGTAAATTGAAACATGTCGTATTTAATATTCATATTTTATTTCTCTAATTCGCCGAGCCCTTCGCTACTATCTTACTATAATTATTTACATGGAGTGCAATCAACTTAATGGTGTAGTAAAATAGGATTCGCCCTCCCCGTTAAACTTATAAAAAAAAAAATTACTAAAATTGCCGCTCGTGTACATTTGGAAGACGTAACTAAAGAATATTATGTAAAATTATAATAAATTAGGCTTGCGTTATTGGTTTTAGACCTAAAAAGCTTTACATTAAACACTATTTTCCCGTGGGAGGGCTGTACAGTCTATAAGTAGGGAGATTAATTTCAAATGCTGCTGCCAAATCGTTTATTGTGACATTATTACACTGCAGGTATACAAACGACTCGCCTATCATAAACATTATTTAAAAGCCTAATGAGGTAGTTCTTATTTGTTTTAATTTTTACATCTCCAAATTTTTGTAATACAAAATAGAATCCTAGTTTTCTTTTAAGCGTTTACGTGAAATGCGATCCGTATATTTTTTAATTATGTACGCACGTTTTCTGTTACAAAAGTACATACGTTGCGAATCATAAAACGACTAATATTTTTTTAAATATTTTTAATTATCATTTAACTAGACGTATTTCAACGAATAAAATATAATCAAAACGTGATCGTATGAGTGTGTACACTCACTCGTACAGAATTAGAAAGTATCTCCACATTAACACGTTACTAAGGATTCTTTTGTTAAGGTATAAGAAGTGTCATGGCATCTTAAAAAATGTAGTTTCGTCGCGTTCACGTTTACAAAAGTATCGATTCTTGAACCATTCTTGTTTGTTTCAGAATCTGTGCTATATAAATTAAAGTGATGTCGCTGTATCATAAGTACGTGATGTGGATGTTGACATATTTTCGGAAAAGTTTTTAATGTATAAACTATTTATATTATTATCATCATCATCATGCTTTCCTATTACCCTCTGCTGGGGTGTAGGGCTCGAATCAAATTTATATTATTATATGGTTGAATATTTTGTGTGCCATCTAACAATCACGCCACGAAACATTGATGCATTCTTTTCATTATCGAATATTTTTTCAGCATCCATTGCCAACAGACTTGCAAAAATATATATATTTTTTTATCATAAACATTTAAATTCCATACATGCAAAGTAACTAAAGCCACGTAAGCAAAATTTGTTCAATTAATCAACCCAAATCAAAAGTTGGCGCAAAGTTGACTCGACACATGATTTTTATTTATCTAAAACAAAAGCTGTTTATTAGGTTTTTTTTACCTTGGAGAAAGGTGTCTGATTTTAATGACAAAAATGTTTTCTAAGCTCTGGTTCAAAACCAAAAATATGTAGAAGCAGCTAACAATCAACTTAGATGGACCATCTTTGTTAGCAGGTGCACTTACTTTTGTAATAGTATTCTCCTAATGCATTAAGAACAATTCACGCCCGCTTAAATTGCTACAGAAACCACACACAGACATGCTGCATTAGCCATCAAAACGAGCGATTGAAATTGAAGCCAGGTTGACTAAATTAGCATATTTCGTCTTTTCGCATTAAAAGTGTACAATTTCCAAAAATATTCGAAAACGAGTTAATATGCGGAATCATCATTGGTATCACCAGTTTTTTTTCTCATAAATACTGTCAAAGGAGCGTAGTTTAGTTTTAGTTTTTTTTTTAATAGTACCTATACTTTGACTACTATTAACAAAATTAATACATAATTTTATCTTACTTTAAAACACAGATAACGTAGCTGGTAAAAAAAAAATGTTTCAAAGATGATTAATATTAAAAATATCACATGTTAAACCTTTAAAACACTCTCCTGTAAAATTAATAAGTTTTGAGATCATACAGTTTTAATGCGAGAAGACGATTTGTCCATCTTGCGTAATTTAAGCAAAGGAGCAAATGAAAGTCCAATCTACAAATTTAACTATCAAACGAACCTGACCTTAATTTTATTTTTACCTCCACTCTGGAAACAATAGTGCGTTCGCAAATGGAATCGAATGTTGTCCGTGACATTTGTATAGAAAACATGTTTGTTCAACATATTCTAAGCCTGCCTAATGAATGCTTATTTTTAAATATATCTGAATTACTTCTAACATTTCAATCTAAGCTTCTCAACATCACGTCTTCAAACTCAACATCCTTTATAATCCATGTTGTATAATCTGTATGTTATGGAATATAAAGGGTGTCCTCCTTCAGCCTATAAACAGCAATAATAACAATATAACAACAACACTTAAGATGGTACACCATACTACTACGCTTGACAAAAATGAGTAAACCTTTGTTACATTCTTATCCTTCACTATTTTGATCCTCACTTCAACTGACTTAAGGGATGACATCACTTCAATTGACGTGGTATATTATTAAATAGAAAAAAAAAAGATTATCAATGAATAGTTCGGCAATCAACTTTTCATGATTATAACAATTAGTAAAGTGTTTTAAAAAAATCTCCATATCGATGCTTGAAAGGCTAACGTGACTAAGCGACAATGTGTGAACTTTACAGTAGAGTAATTTAAAGTTGAAATACCTGAAAAAAAATCTATTTTAACGAATCTGGCTGTAGGACTGAAATGATTTTAATAGATCTAGAAATTTATATTTTTTTGCGCATCGAATACGGTTATTGCCTATCATTTTTATGTACAAAGCAGTTATTGTCGTTTAGTCACGTTTGCCTTTCAAGCGTCGATATATTTATGCGCAAGTTCTCCGTAGTACATGCAGATTTTTATAAGAGTGAAGATTACGATTTTGGCAACAGCATGAGAGGGACAGACGGCGTTAGAGCGAGCCGGCCGCGAAGCTCGCCGAGGAGTTGCTGTGCGCCAGCGACAACATCGAGCCCGACAGCGACTGCTCCTCCTCGCCGTAACCCTCGCGGCTCCCTTCTGCGATCGCCAGTGCACTGTTCATAGAAAAAAGTTTCTATTACTTTTTTTTATTGCTTAGATGGGTGGACAAGCTCACAGACCACCTGGTGTTAAGTGGTTACTGGAGTCCATGGACATCTACAACGTAAATGCGGTGTAACCTTGAGATATAAGTTCTAAGGTCTCAAGTATAGTTACAGCGGCTGCCCCACCTTTCAAACCGATTACGGTACCGATAATTATGCGAATTATAATTTTGCGGGTTTGATTTTTATTACACAATGTTTATTCGCGTATAAAGGAGTGTTCCTAAAATAAAGAAATGTTTTCATCTGTTTCGATGACAGATGAGGTGTGGTTTCAGCAGCCACGTGCTGGGAACGCAACCAAAACAAAATACACCGGTGAGGCTTTGTTCAAACCATATTAATATAAATACCTCAGCGCCTAAGAAAAGCAGTTAATTTTTAAACCATACATTACAGTCAATCTTGATGTACGGAAACCTGTAACCTTTCTATTGAAATTCATCTAGTGCGAGGGTCAATTTAACTCTGAAGTCAGCATTGCATGGAGTGCAACTGTAAGTTACATATTTTGAAAGGAAAATAGTATTCGTGCTTGAGAATACATATAATTGAACAGCAATCATATCATGAAAGTTTTTTTTTATATTTACAAATTCTAATTTACCAGGTTGCCTTACATTAAGGAGATTTGAATGGAAGTTATGAAAAAACATCAGAGAAGTTTACCTAAAGCCGAGACGCACGCTCTCACTGTCGAACTGAGCAAGTTCCCTCTCGTGGCGCTCGTGCAGGAGCCGCGTGCGCTCGCCTCGCTCCGCCGCAAACTGAGCCATCTCCATTTCCATCTACAAACATCATAATAAACATAATAAACGGTAGGCAGCGGCTTTGCTCGATAGGCAGCGGCTTGGCTTTACCCCTAGCATTGCTGAAGTCCATGGGCGACGGTAACCACTCACCATCATGTGGGCCCTATGCACGTCTGCCTACAAGGGCAATAAAACAAAAATTTAATTTATTCAATGTGACCATTCAACAGACTAATTCCGCGTCTCGATTTACCGATTTCCTTTATTTACTAGCCGTACTCGCCCGCTCCGCTGCGCATTTAAAATTAACATTATTATTTGTTGTCATTATTATTAGGGAGTCCAACCCTCATAAAATATTAGCTTATCCATTAACCCAGATAAGCCTGAAACTAAAATTTTCTGAAAATTTTGAAAAAAGTTACATTATTTAGTTTATTAGATCTTATGCAACATAAAAAAAATTATGAAAAAAAAATTAAGTGTAAGGCTTTCAGGGAAACAGCCGTCCTATATGTAGGAAAGTAGGATAATAAGAGGAAATAAAAGACCATTTATGACAAAACAGAATGTAATCAAAAAGTGTAGTTTATTAGATAACTATTGATTATATTACCCATTGTTATATGTAATTTACTAGATTAACACTATTTATGAATGATATGTTTCAAAACACTTGACACACACTCCAACATCACATTTCTTGCAACGTGTCAAACATTNCCAGAGGTCTTTTCTGCCACGTACCATCCGGCTATGGAATGAGCTCCCCTCCACGGTGTTTCCCGAGCGCTATGACATGTCCTTCTTTAAAAGAGGCTTGTGGAGAGTATTAAGCGATAGGCAGCGGCTTGGCTCTGCCCCTGGCATTGCTGAAGTCCATGGGCGACGGTAACCACTCACCATCAGGTGGGCCGTATGCTCGTCTGCCTGCAAGGGCAATAAAAAAAAAAAAAAAAAAAAGTTCATTTTCAAGTTATACAGTACAGTCAATCATGATGTATGGAAACCTTGTAACCTTTCTATTGAAATTCACCTAGTGCGAGCATCAATTTAACTCTGGAGTCAGCATTGCATGGAGTGCAATTGTAAGTTACATATTTTTATTTAAGTTATAGCAAAAGCACTAAAGATGAATAAATGGTAAATACTATATAATGGGATCATCACCTATTTAAACTATTCTTTAAAGCAGAATAGTATTGACGTTTAGGTAGGATAAATGTCATTGAACAGCAATCATATCACGAAGGTTTTATTTTTATATTTACAAATTCTAATTTACCAGGTTGCCTTGGATCAAGGAGATTTTAATGGAAGTTATGAATAAACATTAGAGAAGTTTACCTAAAGCCGAGACGCACGCTCTCACTGTCGAACTGAGCAAGTTCCCTCTCGTGGCGCTCGTGCAGTAGCCGCGTGCGCTCGCCTCGCTCCGCCGCAAACTGAGCCATCTCCATTTCCATCTACAAACATAATAATAAACATAATAACCGGTAGGCAGCGGTTTGGCTCGGTAGGCAGCGGCTTGGCTCTGCCCCTGGCATTGCTGAAGTCCATGGACGACTGTAACCACTCACCATCATGTGGGCCGTATGCTCGTCTGCCCACAAGAGCAATAAAAAAAATAATTCAGCGTGATGATTCAACAGACTAATTCCACGTCTCGATTCACCGATTTCATTTATTTACTAACCGTACTCAGCTGCTTCGTTGCGCTTTTAAAATTAACATTATTATTTATTGTCACTATTATTAGGGAGTCCAACACTCATATATTATATGAATATTAGCCTATCTATTAAGTACATGTATTTTCTACATGGATACCAAGTTTGAAGTTAATCGGATTCATGGTTCAGTAGTTATAACGGAACATCCATAAAAACCACTGTGGATTTATATATTACTAGCTGTACACGCCCGCTCCGCTGCGCTTTTAAAATTAACATTATTATTTATTGTCATTATTATTAGGGAGTCCAACCCTCATATTAAATATTAGCCTATCCATTAAGTATGTACATGGATTTTCTACATGGATACCAAGTTTCGAGTTAATTGGATGCACAGTTCAGTAGTTATAACGGAACATCTGTAAAAACCACTGTAGATTTATATATTATAGTATAGATTTCATGTTGTAATACAACTAAGTCAAACGACAATTCAAGTTGAACTGCAGCAGGATGGCAAAAAGAAGAACAAGGTAGATGTCAACACCTAGGCTGCCATGTCTCGTATCTTATTGCCGGCTTCAGTAGCAGATTTACTCCAAGGAGCACACGAGTTCGTATATGCAGCTATATATATGCCATTAACATTTTTTTTAATTTTCATCCTGATTCGTATAATTTGATTTGATTTTGTTAGTAGCCCTTCATGCGGCCAATAATCGGAGGCGCTGGAGAGAAATTACAAGGAGTAAAATCCTGTCGAAATATGATGGTCACGACCCTTAGCAGCGAGGAAACGACGCGAGGAGGAGGCAGACGAGCATACGGCCCACCTGATGGTTAGTGGTTACTGTCGCCCATGGACTTCATCAATGCAGGGGCTGAGGCAAGCCGCTGCCTACCGTTGGGTACTGTCATGTAGTTAGGAAGTACCTTCTGCTCGAGTAGCGCTCGCCTGACGTTGACCCGGTCCTCGAGCTCCCTCCGCTCGCGGTTGCGCTGCGCCTCGGCTTGCATCTTGCTCTTACTCTGGTAGGCAGTCAGCATGTCTAATTCATGCTCCAACTGCATCTTTAATTGCTGGCATTCCATCTGTAATTAAAGTCATACACATTCCTAATAAGTCTTAATGTAATAAAAATCAAACCCACAAAATTATAATTTGCGTAATTACTGCTGTGACTCTGCGCGGGTAGGTACCAACAACCCGCCTATTTCTGTCGTGAAGCAGTAATGCGTTTCGGTTTGAAGGGTGGGGCAGCCGTTGTAGATGTCTATGGGCTCCAGTAACCACTTAACACCAGGTGGGATGTGAGCGCGTCCACCCATCTAAGCAATAAAAAATAAATAAATAAATGAATAATTTGAAATTCATAATAATGTCCCTGTGTACTGTGTAATAATAGTGGGAAACAGTAATGAAATATCATAATTTTAAGACTTATTATTATACGATACTTTTTATTTTATGACAACCAAACAAATAGCACTTTAACAACTCACCATTTGACTCTCGTCAAGTCTGACGGTCTGCTTCTGAAGCATTTCAGTTATGCTCTGGTCATATTGTTCCCCGAGCAGCACAAGTTTGCGTCGTTTCTCATCTTTTAGCGTCTTAATTACTTCTTTTTGTTGCTCCTGTATTAATATGTTAATAATTAAAATAATGCAATACTACTACTACTTTTTTAAAAAGAAAAAATATCTTCAATTCATCTAAAACAAAGTCTTCACTAAACAAATAGTTTACTCTAATCAGGTAAATCAAATCGTTACTTCCGAGATACTTACTGTAGGAAAATAAACTAAGTTGAATAAATTTGAAAAGGGTACTAAAATAAATTGAATTCCTTTTCTAATTGCATATTCTATTGTTATTTTTAAAAATAATGTCCTTGTACAATAAACTTAAAATTCTGAGGCTTCACTGTAACTCGATTTTACTTCGGCATTCCATTTTCAATAGGCAATTTTATATTTTACTGAAATTTCATATTTATATGTGGACTTATGTAATCAAAGTCGATACTACTTCTACTATAACATCAAGTTTTTTCCATTTTCTAAATATTGTTTGGCAATTGTATTTAGAGTTTTTTGTATTTCTTTCGATTTTTCTTAATTTAATTATGTAAGGGTTACATTCCTTGTAAATACGTTTAGAAATATTTTAAGCCCTAATATAGTCACGTACCTTAGGAGTGATCTGCAATATGTGCGCTTTGAGCGCCTTGTACTGACGGGTCTGTATCTTGCAGGTTTCACGAAACTGTTTACGTATTTGCATTTCTTTTTGCTAAAAGGGATAAAATTAAAAAAATATGTGAATTATTTGTATTAGACTAGAATTACAAGTAATTTTCAGTTTTATTTAAAAATATTATAATTCATGAAGTACACACACCTTAAGGCTTTTGGGTTGTTGTTTGAGTTGCAATGCATGTTTTTTTGTGAGTTCGTGTTCGGCTCGCTGCATGTAATCGCGCTGATTTGAAAGCTCCGTCGCATGTTGGTTCGAGAGTTGTTCCTCTCTGAAAAGTAATTTTATTTATTTTCAATAAATGAAACAATGATAGGGGTTTAAAGGTTTGCGGTCGTACTGTATGCGCGCGAGTTCATGTCCATCGGGGCCAAAGGCGACACGCGGGGCACAGCTCGCCCCACCTTCGCCCGCCTCCCCGCATTTGTCTGACGTCGAGTGTTGTCCTTGACGGTTGTGACGCGCGCTCATCGATATCGAAAATTTACGCTGACGCTATTGTGTTAAAGAAAACCACGACTATTCCGCAACCAAACAATTTCATATAGAAAAAAACCTACTGAAAAAGATACGTACTGATTCCGACTCTGATCTGTCGGTTGTCTTTTCATTTGATAGTGATTGAATTGGAATAAAAAAAATTTTTTTCTCTAAATACTTATCACATTTATTTTATGTAGTAAATTGCAAAATTACCTTAAGTTACATTAAACCAAATTGACAGCTGTTGACTAAATCGGTAGTTATTATCGACATTACCATAATTAACTAGGTCACAGCACTATCGCGTTCCTCGGGATGGACATGAACTCGCGCGCCTACTGTACACGTGAAATCTATTAAAGTGGATACTTTATATATATAAAATATTTCCGCACGGTGTAGAGCTACACAACACATATCGCATCCACGAGCCTTGGTGGAACAGTCCAGAGCACTAACGACTGCACGACCGAGTCAGTCAAAAGTACTTGTTAAATAAATATCAGTATTCTACACGAATAAGAGTGCTGAATAGTTAATGCCAACAATCAATTTGATAGCTGATAAAAACCTCAGCAGTAATATTCTCTAGAAGTCTTATTGTTTTCTTTATTCTAATGATGAACTGCAAAGGGAAGGGATATTAATAATTTTATTTATAGTGTAATATGTTTTGAAATTAATCTTATCACAACACTAACTAACAATACTAGGTGATAAACGAAAACTGTGAACAGTACCTAAGCGCGTGAACGCCTTTCTGTTGTCTGTATTCGAGCTCTTGCGTTTTTTCGTGATGCCGAAGCAACATCGCGTGCGCTTGTTCTAACTGCTGTTGGCGTTTGTTTAGTTCCTGGAAACGCATGGAAAAAACTTTCTTAGTGAACTTTGACATTGCTAATCATAGATAGTTTAAATGTCTCTGCTCTCTACTTTTGCATTGCTAGTGGACGTCTTTAAATAGGTATACAATTAAGCTAAACTATTCTAACAAGGGTTATGCTTTGTGCAATGAAGAGTGCACATAAAATAGTTGTTACCTCTCGGAGTAGCTCCTGTTCCTTGTGATGCAGTCCAAGCATCCGACGTCTTCGGAACCGTCTCAGTTCCAGTTCAAGGTACTCTCGCTGTGATCGCACGAGTCGCGCTTCCTCTGCAGCTTCTGCTTGCTTCAGGTTGTCCTTCTGAGACCTGAATATAAAAATTGCCGAATTGCCGTTATAAAAAAATAATTTTACCGACTACATAATATTGATAACCTACATAAAGGACGTGGGACATTTTTTTTTTTTTTTTCATTTAAATCTCCCGTTTTCCCCCTGACGTTGTCAGAGCTCTTATAAATGTTTGTGTTAATTATTTGTAATATTCATGTATTATTTGGCTAGAGTTTTTGATTTTAAATTTTTTCCTTCCAAAGTAAGTACATTCCATGAAGTTACACTATTTTTTCCAATAATTTCCCATGCTTACCAGGCCATATTTATTTTGTTTAGGGTGGCCAAAGATGGATATGGAATAAATCATCAGTGTATGTAGTAGAGAGTAAAAATACACACTGTAAGGTAGCATCCCGCTGTCTCTTGGGCGTTGCGTCATCCATGCTTAGTTCCTTTTTCCATCGTTCTTTGTTAGCCTTGTATTCTCTTTTGCGTTGAGTTTCGAACGCCTTACGCTCTTGATCTTGTCGTGTCGTAATGTCCTTTATCAACTTCTTTTCTGCAGCCGTATTCTGTTTCAGCTTCTTTTCTAATTCTTGAGCGTGTTTTGTCTGTAAATAATTAAACAAAAATAATATAGAACTCTAGATTTTTCTTTTATAATTTTATTTCTAGCTCTTTTAAATTAAATTAGAAAATTTTAATCATTTGTATCATTGCAATGCAAACATCAATACTAATATATAAATCTACAGTGGTTTTTACGGATGTTCCGTTATAACTACTGAACCATGCATCTGATCGACTTGAAACTTGGTATCCATGTAGAAAATACATGTACTTAATGGATAGGCTAATATTTATATGAGTGTTGGACTCTCTACACACGTCGTTAATCATAAGAATCTTTGTGGTGGTGAAAAATAATAATGTTAATTTTAAATGCCCAGCTAAGCGGACGTGTACAGCTAGTACTGTATAATTGTAATAAAAAGTTTATAGTTTGAATGTTTCGAATGATTCTGAAGGTTTTTTTTTTTATTGTACTAGTACAAATGAAAGCCTATCTGTATATGTATTTATATAAAGCTGTAAAATATTGCGTACCTGCAGCCGCTCCAGCTCCCTGGAGAGTTGTTGCAGCAGCGAGTCGTACTCCCTGTCGAGCTGCGCCTTGTGCGCGTCTACGTCGGCTTTGCACCGCTCCTCCAGCTTCAGTAAGGCAGCTTGGTGCTCACGCCGCATACGTTTGTAGCCTGACATTTGCTCGTGCATTTCCTGTTCATGCAAAATTATTATCATCTTATTAATCAGTCCGCGTGCACGTACTTTTAAGCTTTCGTTCTAAGTGAAAGAATGATCTAGGGGGCGTGTATCAACAAATCTAACTTCACTAAATATTCAGCCAGACTTCGTGTTCGATTATGGGATTTTAACTCGGACACTCAAAACTGATATTAGATAAATGTTGCATGAAACAACGTGAAATAAAATAGACAAAGTAACCATTAACTTTTTCATACTCGTATATTTTTGGGTAATTTCGCATATAGTGTGGGGCGTACTTAAGTTAACTACAATGAGACCGAGACAATAACGGTACATTATGCGACCAGATTTAAAAGTATTAAATTTCAACTATGGTAATAAGGAAAGTAATAATGAAATGACAATTAGCCATACTTGGTTATGTTCCTTCTGTTGTTTTGTGACAATACTGGTGGTACGTATCGTGGCAAAGTTGTTTGCTCCGTGCTCGGAAACTAGAGACATCGCCGCCGAAACGTTATTGCTTATACCTGAGGAATTATAACAAAATTTAACATTAAAGGATCAGAGCTTTTTGGTCTGATTAATCAAGACATATTGTCTAAATGACATGAAGGTTCAGTTCATCACGAGATAATTTATTTATTACTGGTGGTAGGACCACTTGTGAGTCCGCGCGGGTAGGTACCACCACCCTGTCTATTTCTGCCGTGAAGCAGTAACGCGTTTCGGTTTGAAGGGTGGGGCAGCCGTTGTAACTATACTGAGACCTTAGAACTTATATCTCAAGGTGGGTGGCGCATTTACGTTGTGTATGTCTGTGGGCTCCATTAACTACTTAACACCAGGTGGGCTGTGAGTTCGTCCGCCCATCTGAGCAACAAAAAAAAAACATTGTCATATTACCATAGACTAGAGAGAATGAACAAGAATACGAACTTCTGTTTGTTTGGCGTCGCTGCGTGTTCCGGTTGTCGTCGCCACTGTGCTGCCAGGTGGAGGGCGCGTTGACGTACTCCCTGTAGTCGTTAGAGTGGCGCTCTCTCTCCCTGTCTCGCTCGCGCGCCTCGCGGATGGCGTCCCTGTTGGCGTAGTCATCTCCGTAGTCGTCCCCGAGCGAGTCCCGGTTGGCATATTCTCTCATTACGTCCTTGTTCACGTAGTCATCGTTGGGCGGAGGAATAGGGCTCTCGCTCTCTCTGCGTACGAAACACCAACATGAGTAAAGCCAGCCCTTGCTCTCTCTGAAAGGTAATGGTGCTATCTAGTGTGGGACATGCATACGTGAAAGCGCAAAATTAAATGCAAACAAAACTACAACACAATGCAAGCAATAGCATACTGTCAAAAACTTTGATGCAATATTCTTATAGTGTTCAGAATAGTACCTATTTTAATTTTGTTTTAAATATATGTTACATTAATAAAAATATAATCATTGACACCAAAAAGTAAGAATTTGTTAATATTCAGCACACAAAAAAAATTAAGCGTTTTCTAACTACAGCATTTAACTACACACAACATTATACTACATAAAATAATTCAATATAATTTACCTTGTGGAATGTAATAATGGTTGATGGTTCACATATTGATATTGTGATTGCTGCTGGTGTTGGTGATTTGCGTTTATCTGAAAAGAGGTTTTTAATCGTTATTTTATTTGTATAATGACTTTATTCTTGTTAATCATAAAATTGAGTTAAATTTTGAACAAATTCTCACTGTTTAAAACATTTGAATATCACATTACTTTACAACAATATTTGACTGGTTAAATAAATGGGGATTAAATGAAATAATAATAAAATAAAGATCTGTTTGTAAGTACATAAATCTGTCTGCATGTGCATATATTGATTAGGATAGATAAAAATCAAGAAATTCCTTATTATTGGTACTATTTGTAGGTAGAGTAGTTTCTAACAGTTCTTGCGTTTCGGTTTGTAGGGTGGATCAGCTATTGTACTGTAAAAACTTAGACTTTAGAATCAAGGTGGGTGGCGGAATCTACTTTGTTGGTGTCTATGGGCTTCGATAAGCTCTTAACACTAGGTGGCCCATTAGCTCATTCTCTGATCAAAGCAAAAAAGAAACCTATATTTTCTGCTGCTAAGCTGTCATGAGCCCACGGATATGAGAAAATGATTGTTGTCACCCACCTTGAGACCTGTGGTTGAGGTCTCAGTTGTGTTTATACATTTAATTAATATCTAAAATAATCAATTAAAAACAAATAGACTGTGTCGCATCTAGTGCGATAAAAAATGGGTAGAATGACAAACATGTTAATCACAACATAAAATAATTATAAAATATACCCCTACTTCTTAATCTGATTTATTTTATTGTGATCAATGTTATTTCATTATTAGCTTATGGATACTTGAATTTAATAAAGTGAAATGACTAAATTATCTTTGTTACTTACAGCATGAGGTCGTCTTCTCAAGCTACCTGATGATGAACTTTGACTGGAAGCTCCAGCAGCGCTATGTTCGGACGTCGCAGAATTTGATTTAGAACTGTCCCCACCTGAAGGTTCCTCAATTGCCTCTTCACTGTCACCTGCAAGAGTTATAGTGTTGTCACTTTGTTTCACAATAGGCAAAGGTGGCTTTGGTTGCTGGTAATAAAATACAATAACACTTGTTCATCAATGCCTTGAGAATACAATGAATGAAACATATTGTGTAATAAAATACAAAAGAGTAATTATTAGTGGAAGGCACATCCCGTGCCTGCAAGAGTAGGTACTCCCATTGTGCCTGTTTTTGTCATGCAGTAGTCATGTTTTCTAGTTTAAAAGGTGGAACAACCATTCTAAAATATTATTGAAATTTTTATTTATGTCCCAAGATGGGGCGGCAATCATGTTGTGATTCCTATGGATTCCTGTTACTATTTACCTGTTACCTCATCAACACACCGAGTGTGATAAATTAAAATGCAGTTATTTACAAATTAGCCTCAATAATAAATCATACCGATAGCACTTTCGTTGTCTACATCCACCATTAATATTTTCTTCATCTTTCTGTAGTTGAGATTGTCAAGATCCCGTACGGCAGCCTTTGTTCTCTGTATGAGATCCACTAAAACGTTAGGGGAACGAGGACGTGTGATAAACACGTGAGACAGAAGCTTCGTGGAGGACAACCGATCTTGTGGATTCTTCTGTAAGCAAGCTTCTACGAAATAACGAAATATATCAGTCCACTCTGTAGCCTGGAACGTAAAATAAAAGATTAAGGGTAGATCAAATGTTTTTAATGGATTTCCTCTGTTATGTACAATTTTGTAACAAACCTGCAATGTAGGAGAATCATTTTGTGCAATGTGGTACAAAGCAGACATGGCGTTCATGTTGAAGTACGGTGGCTTCCGCTCTGCAAGTTCTATACATGTTATGCCTAGTGACCACACGTCCACCTGAAAAGAGTATTAACCAAATTTTCTATTTCAGACCAACATATATTTTTGTAGACATGGAGTAATGTCTTATTTAACATTCATTTTCTTGCCACCCTGACATGAAACTACTATGCATTCACTACACGTGAATGCATATTAGTATCATGGATAAGATTATTATCTTATACTTATTAGTTAATATCATCGACAAGTCGTCGTGGCGTAAAGGATAGAGGTCCGGTGCATTCGTATGCAGCGATGCACCGGTGCCGAATCCCGCAGGCGGGTACCAACTTTTCTAATGAAATACGTACTTAACAAATGTTCACGATTGACTTCCACGGTGAAGGAATAGCATCGTGTAATAAAATCAAACCCGCAAAATTATAATTAGTGTAATTACTCGCGGTAGCACGTCTTTTGAGTCCACACGGGTTGGCATCCAGTTTATTTCTGCCGTGAAGGAGTAATGCGTTTCGATTTGAAGGGTAAGGCAGCCGTTGTAACTGTATTGAGATCATAGAACTCATCATTACCGATCCTGCGGACCGAATGGTAATCCTCCCGACCCACTAACGGGGCTTTTAGGTACCTCAAACACCGGTCATGGTTCTCGTCGAACCCGTCGCTTGCGACGAAGGGCTCGGTGAGTAAATTAACCCATAGCAATAGCCTACTGAGTTTCTCTCCGGATTTTCTCAGTGGGTCGTCTTTCCGATCCGGTGGTAGATTCTGCGAAACACGGCTCTTGCTTAGGGTTCGTGTTAGCAACAACGTCAGGTTTGAGCCCCATGAGCTCACCTACTCGCCCGGTTACGCTGAAATGGTCTCTCAAGACCATCGGCTTAGGTAGGAAAAAAAAACCTCATATCTCAAGGTGGGTGGCGGCATTTACGTTGTAGATGTCTATGGGCTCCAGTAACCATTTAGCACCATGTGGGCTGTGAGCTCGTCAACTCATCTAGACGACAAAAAAAAACACATTCAGCCAAACTTACATCCTACAAAATATATGTTCGTGATATTTTCTGCCCATTTACATCACCGAAAAAGATACCGAAACTTAGACTTACCTTGCCATCATATTGGCCTTCATCCATGGCCAGTATGACCTCTGGCGCCATCCAGTAGGGCGTCCCAACAAAACTGTTAGCCGGGCACTTGATACTCGCGCTACCAAAATCTGCAAGTTTCACGGTTCCATTCTCGGTGAGGAGAATATTACCGGCTTTAATGTCGCGATGGATCCGACCTAAACTATGGAGATACGAGAGACCGCAAACGACCCCTTCGCATATGGCTGCGATTTCCTCTTCGCGCAACGGACGCTTGTGAACCTGTTCAATAGTCAAACAATTTAAGGTTATAACATAATAAATACTTTAAATCCTAAACAAAACAATATATGTATATTTATACATTCACACAGTTGACTCTGCACGACTGTGTATCTGGACTCAAAAATTGAACGAAGCACTCTGCGATGGTAGTCATTATTTATCGGGTTCCAGAGCCCATAAACAAATAGTATTGAAGGTGTTAATATTCACGAAGGTTTAAAAAAAAGTCGAATCAATTTTTTGTTATATTATTATATACATATTTATATTCATAACAATTTGACACTTTTTATTATAATTTGCATATTGAGTACGCGTCGCGGCATGCGCTTTGAATAAATTAAAAATTCAGATTTCGAAAGCTCTGTTTGAGTTGATTTTATTACTTGAGATATGGAAATATTCGCTACACAACAGGTTACATAATTCATATTTTATTGTATAGCTTACAGCACAGCTGAGCATAGTTTCAAACAATTACTGGAGCCCAAAGACATCAATAAGTGAATGCAGCTGCCAATTTTGAGACACGATGTCGCAAACTTAGTAGTAGTATCTTGATGAGTAAGTCGTTAACTATGAATCACATTTCTACCGAGAGAAAACTAAACGAACTATTTTCTTCTGAAAATATTATTATTACATATATAACTCTGATAAAATCCGATATCTGAATACTAAATTTATTGCATCACATTCAACTTTTTGTTTGTACACTTTCTACATAATATATTCATAAGACGCGTTATATTATCTACTATATTTTATATTTGCGAATATTAATACGTTTTTATTCTACGTTACGACATAAAATTTGCCTAATTCTATAGACCGAAACCTACCTTGCAGGATTCTAGTATATATAGACGTAACGTATAGTGAATACTACATAAATATTATAAACACGTAACTTAAATATATTAATAAAAATTTTATTTTATGTGCTTAACTGCAATTTTTTTAATTTATAGTGTGGTCCTTATAAAAAATTATGAGGTTTTTTCAGATTAATTGTATTTTCATAGATTCATTTAATTTTACATCAATTTTATTTTCTTTTAACGGCCGACAGTTTCCATTTATCATCATCCGAGTCGTAGGCTCGTCTGTCTTCAATGACAGTTAAATGACACAATAAAATCCACCTACGTATTTTGAAATGTTTAACTGGAAAACTATAACGACACAGTTATATGACGCATAAAATAATAATAGTATAATACGATTGTAGTCGATTTCACATATTTTCTCAGAAACCTAAGATAAGTTTTGTGATCTCATAAATTTAGTTTACAAATCGAACGCCACTTAGTAATTGCAGTTCTTAGAATGTTGAATGTGCTACACGGTGGTTATTTATTTAAAAAAAAATTCAAAGTATTTTGATTCTGACGAGTTCTATGTCACTATTCTAGTTTGTAATCTCTACAAGCACAAAACTAGGTCTTGGCCTAGAGAAAATATCTCCAATGAGTGATATTTTGCAATATTGGTAAAACATTTCCCAATATTTAGATTTTTTAAATATTATATGACTAGTCACCTCAGAATTTGTGAGGATTTCTCATTAATGTTAATAACTGGTTATTTTTATATACCGATTATTGTGAAATTTAATTCTTCATTAATCCTTTCTTTCAAAACTCTGAACCACAAAGGTTTTTGTTTCGAAAGTTCAATCATGCTTAGGTTGTAAAAAGTTAAATTAGGGAAAACATTAATTTCTTAAATGTACCGTATAACAATAATCAAGGCCACTAAAAGAACACCCCTTACACTTGTTGATAAAAACTAATAATTGAACTAAGTTAAGGGTCAAGGTAGATGATGGCCATAATTTATGACCTGTGAACGACCTCTATGACTAATAACACTGAAAGAACTTTATAAAAATACAAAAATATTGAGTTGTAAAAAAGAAAGAACAGTTCATCCTTTGGGTATACCTGGTAATGTGAAAAATTTATTTTGCCAATTTTGGGCAAGCAATAAAAAAGCTAAAAATCCTGAGAAATCAACGCAAACATTGATTCTTATAAAGTGCACCTGTATGCAAGATGTATGATTCGGCCTATACTGAAATTGGTAGAGTTAGAGATGTGATTATGCTATGAAATAAATGTATTATAAGGATATTTTACCTCAATTATATCAGACGCAGAACCGACACAGTACTCCATAACCAGCCATGCCGTGTGTTCCCTTTTGTAACATCCTTTATATTCTATAGTGTTTGGATGGTCCAGTTGTTTCAGGAATCTGCACATTTAAATGATTATTATTTTTTATAGATTAATTATAGATCTTCTAAATAATTATCAATTTCAAACAAAATGATAATTATCTCCTAATAACAAATCAATTTCCTTCAAAAATCATGTTTTTTTTAAGTCTCATAAAATTCATATCAGGTTTCATTAAAGAATACTCATATTGAAATCCTTAGAATGTGTAATGTTATATAGTTTTAAACAACATTTTCAAGTAACATATTTATTGGTTTTTATTTGTGTGTATATATATTTCTGCATTTTTATGTTCATTTTAACAAGTTACTTGAACACTAATGTCAATACAATGAGGGATTCATTCTTCTGCTTCTTCAACATTCCCTCATTACTGAGGATCCTGAACACACATACATGAATAACATTTACATATTAAAGAGATTACAGATTAAAGATACATGAATGAAATCATTTTAACAAAAAAAAAAAGAAATTTCAGCAATTGTCTTGCTTTCAACAAATGGCAAGTTGATTTTTTTTATTTAAATTGAATTTGATGATTGAATCCAAATGAACTTGCTGATTTTTTAATATTGGTATAATACCCAACTTTTATAACTCTACCAAATTTTATATATATCTTATAATTCATAAGAAAATACTTGATTATTCTTACATACAAACAGTGTTTGACAAATTAAATCACAGATGTGACGTGGTTCAATATGAGCATTTCAGTGCATAATTTAAAATAGATTAATAATTAAATGCAATCAATGTTAACTGAACTTAAAAAACATGTTTACAGTTTTGGTTTCTTGAAAATTGTCAACTTCCCTATTTGAATAATTGATTGATCCAATTGAGAAAAACCAGTTTATAATTTTGTCAAATTTATTACAAACTGATTTAAAGCAAGCAAAATATAATCACAGATATTTTGTTTCTGTAAACACAAATCTAGTAATTTGCCTTTAGAAAAGTGAGAGAATATTTTATTTATCGCTTGAACAATTTAAAGGGAAAGGGCAACATTAATTTGGATCTCTTGTAGTTTGTTGTTCACTATCCAGAACTAATCTGTGGGAATGTGTTTTTTATGTTAAGCCCATAATAATTATAGTATTACTTTTACTTACTTAATTTCTTTCAGTATATCTTGCCACTTTTCTTCACTCTGTTTCCCTAAGTATGACATTTTTTTAATGGCCACAATCTCTTTTGTAAGATTACAGCGTGCATAATACACTGCCCCAAATGATCCATGACCAATCTCTCGTAGGTCCTCAAATATTTTCTCTGGATCATGTTTGCTGAACAGCTCAGCAATGTCTGGATCTTTTAGACTGCCTGGTCTTGGCATTTTTGTCTGTAAAGTACCATAGCATTATGTTTATTATTATCAATCATAGCTACATAACTTCATTCATCATAGCTGTAATCAGTTGACTACACTATGTTGTTAAGAATGCTTAACTTTTGTCTTAATCTAATGTTTCGATAGTTTCGGTGGTAACTAAACTAACTCAGTCATAAATTCTTGTCCTTTAGTTGTTTTCAAATCAAATGTTTGAGTTTTCATACAAAAAGTTTAGATATTTAATGCTGCTTTTGTCCTTTTCAATTACAATTTAAAATATATACAGTCGTGGTCAACTAATTAGGGACAATCTCTAGTTAAGCCAAATTGTGAATATTTTTTTTATTTTCCAACGAGTCTTAGCAATATTCCATATCTTTTAAATGTAAGTGTAATTAGTCATTTATGTGCGCGATTATACAAACAATAACAACTTCTTAAACATTAAACCTCTTTACAGTATAGCTGATACAATATCATAGTGCTATTGGTTCAAAGAATGCTGGCTGGCCATTTAATTAGGGACACTGAGGTATTGCGTTCTAATTTCAAAATTGGAATTTTAATACTTTTTTGTTTCTTTTCTTATTTTTTAGTGGTAATTTTGGCGGCAATCCAGATTTTTTATTTTAAGTTTTGAGAATTATTTTGAAGAAAAATGGGCAAAAATAAAAGTTGCGATCCAACACTACGAAAAATTATCATGAAGTTTGTCGAGCGTGGTTGGTCATACCGAAGGATAGCACAACATTTAAATTGTTCAAAAGCTATGGTATGCAATGCAGTGCAACATTTCAAGCGCTATAACACAGCTTTAAATGTGTCCAGAACAAAAATATCGAGAAAAACGACTCCGCAAGAAGATAGAATGATAACCAGGTTAGCTAAGAAAGATCCGTTTCTAGGCTCTATTTTAATTAAACACGAAGTGTTTGGGGCAAACGAAAGAGCCGGTGTATCTGCGAGGACCGTTCGACGACGTTTGGTAGAAGCAGGGTTGTTCGGATGTTGAAGAAAGAACATAGAAATGCTCGTTTGGCATTTGCACGTAAATATGGACATTGGACCTACGCCCAATGGCAACATGTACTTTTCTCTGACGAGACCAAGGTTAATTTGATTTCTTCAGATGGAAGGTAATATGTACGGCGTCCTGTAAAAGCAGAAATGAATCCAAGATTCACAAAAAAACAGGTGAAACATGGCGGTGGAAACATTAAAATATAGGGTTCATTTTCTGGACGTGGAGTGGGACCTGTGAGGAAAGTTCAGGGTAACTTAGACCAACATCAATACAAGGCAATATTGGAAGAAACTATGCTTCCCTATGCTGAGGAGCATCTCCTTATTATATGGACGTTTCAGCAGGATAACGACCCGAAACATACCGCACATTCAGTCAAGTCGTTTCTTACCAGTCAGTTTGTATCGGTGTTAGATTGGCCAGCAAATAGCCCGGACCTCAACCCAATTGAGCACGTTTGGCACGAAATTAAGAAAAAAGTTGCCACTTATCGTAATACAAATTTGGATGAACTTCATGAAGCTTTTTGTGAGGCATGGGCAAACATTCCTGTCGAAACATGTCAGAAACTGATGTCTATGCCACATCGGTGTCAAGCAGTAATTATTAACAAAGGTTTTGCTATGGGGTACTGATTTTACAGGTAATAAAATGGAGCTGTTAAAGATATTATAACACTGAAGATTATAAGTTTTGTGTAACTGTATTTTTCATTATACTTTACTGTCCTTAATTAAATGTCCACTACAGAATTGTACCTTAATATTTAATACATTTATAATCTTTGATATTAAATACTTTTTCTATTTATTAAATCTTTTATTTACAGCCATTTATAGCATAATAATCGGACCACATTATGCAAATAATAGGTGCTGAGAAATCAATAGGGTTTTATATTTAAATGTACATAACCGGTTATAGCCCTTCACTATCTTGAATGTCCCTAATTAGTTGACCACGACTGTATATACTACCAGTTGCAACTACTAATCTACTATTGTTCCACCTCATCCTCCATACTTATAACCAAACTTTCACTCTAATTTTGATTTAGAGTACCGACTGTAAGGCATATTGTGGGCAAGGATACACTATGACCATTAAACTAGTTAAAAAAATTTGAAGTTTCTCAATTAAAAGACCTCTATCTGAGGAATAAAATTGATCTTGCAACAACAACAGAAACTGTTACTCAATCAGAGCTGTTTAATGTTTAATTTATGTTTGAAAAATTATCTAATGTACACAGTTAATTTTCAATTTAACTACTTTATGCATTTTTTAAACACATACAAAATAGCACCTTTATTTTAAAATGCCATTATTTTTTTAAATTTAAATAGCTGAATAAAAATTGTCTGAAGATAAATCTTATATGACATTCTGTTAATTTTAAGATACCTTTAGATTTAATATGTAATATTTGTATCTTGATCACTAATGTATGCAAGCAATAGTGTGTGTACTAAATTGCTGTATAATCAAATTTTATCAATATAATCTAATTTTAAAATTAGTTGAATTATTATTGACTAGTTGAATAATACATTTGATACTATCTTTCAGTTACAATATGATGTAACAAAAACAACAAAAAAATTACACACTACACATATTAGTAAGGTCTACAAATTTAAATTTATATATATTTTATCAAACAAATAGAAAATTGAAAGTTCTGATTAATGATAACTTTGATTTTATCCAATGCTTTAGCTAGTTTCTTGTCAAATTCAATTATAATGACAATGATAACACCATATGCATGGGTGAACTTAATAATTTTATCATATTCTTATNCCAAAAAAATTACACACTACACATATTAGTAAGGTCTACAAATTTAAATTTATATATATTTTATCAAACAAATAGAAAATTGAAAGTTCTGATTAATGATAACTTTGATTTTATCCAATGCTTTAGCTAGTTTCTTGTCAAATTCAATTATAATGACAATGATAACACCATATGCATGGGTGAACTTAATAATTTTATCATATTCTTATGGTTGGAAGTCCATTGAACTGTGATTAAATTGAAAGTTAAACTTAACTTTATTTTCTATTGAAGTACTTTGTATTGTTTTAAATGAAATGTGAAAATGTGTGAACTGAATTCATTTGTAACCATGTGAAAAAATCAATGTAAGTTTTCATTGTTCAAATAAGATAAGGTTTAAACTTACAGCCTGTGCCAGCTGGATGCCGGCGGCGTCCGTCACTTAATTAGAACAGTCCTGTGGCCCCAGGCCATCCTCCGCGACGTCCGCTATCTGCAATTGTCGGAAACGCCAACGATAACACCAGTCACGCCAAATTCTGACATCTATCTTTTTAATACCTTCCTATATCCAATTGTGCTGACTGCACTAATAACAAGTCCGAGCCTTAAGGCTGTCTATTATGTCACTTTAATTTCACTAAATAATTTAATTAATGTTAGCTCCAGTTAAACGATACTGCAACCCACCTCGATGGCACCACAGATTTTGATTGTTCATCGATACACTTCATCACTAAATCCCGGCTCCGTGTACTTTCGCAGTTCACTGTTATCGACAATAATTTACCGCAGCCCTTTCGTAAGGGTTAGTGTCTAAAATATTGCGAAATACTTGGCACTTACATACAAAATTTGCTTCAAAATGGCGTTGAGGTATCGTGCGCAATGATAGTTTTTTGTTTCATATGGGTGAATTTATAAAATTTTTCATCACTCTCACAATTTTTTTTGATTATAATAATAACACCGTATTTTAAACCAACACAATTTATAATTAAGGGACCTTGTTTAAAAATTTCTTTGAAATTATTTACAACTTTCCCGTAACACAGCATAGACAATTTTTTTCAGATTTCAGTCAACTTCAGCCAAGGCCCTTTTTTTACTTGATTCCTCCAATGAGACAGGCAAAGGAAACATAATCCATACTATCACTTCACGTAACTTCGTAACGTACTTCGTAACACGTAACGTACTTCACGTAATCATGAAGGAAGCCAAAACTGTTTTAAGAAGGTAAAAATTTCCTTTTTTAAAAGTGGTTCGTATAAAAATTGAATAAAACGAAGTGAAAGACAAATAATGATATTACACTGAACACGTCTTATTACTTAATATACGAATGGTTAGAATATTGCTTAAAGTTTGTGTATTTGCAAAGCTATCTTAAATAATTATTACTGTAATTTAAGGTAATTTTAATTTGTTGTTAGGAAATGTAACAAGGCGTCAATTAACAGATTCTTCTTAAAAGCTCATAGATTACAATACTTTTAAAGATTAGAACTAATAATGTCTTTTAGGTAATGTACACAATGACCTTGATAAAAACAAATGTGCCATCAAAGGTTTTGATTAAATATGGTATATGTTCACATCGTTTGCTATAGAACAAACAAAAAAATCTATGGCCAGTGTAATTTTTTTCCAGAAGGATTTTCAGGGATCGCTGTATTCGTTCATATTTATATTCAAGCGGACCTTCTGTCGTTTAATGTCGTTACCTATATCTCTGTGTGTAGTAAATAGGTACCGGTTTACCGGTTTTAGGAAATCCTAAAAACCGTTTATTTTTCAAAAAATGATACGCACCGGTAATATACAAAAACGACTAAGTTTGTGCAGCTAGGAGGGTAAACTAAACGTTACGAATTTAAATATTAGCGCCCATAAATACCCATTAAACGTTTAAGTATATATGTCTATGCAATGTCATTAATAGTAAGTAGTAGGAAATTTATATTCGGGAAAAAGAAGAAAAAACTATCAATTTTAGACTTTACACGACAACGGTGAACCATGAGTCCAAAGGCTACAGTTTCCATAGTAAATACACTATGCATGAATATAGAAACATAGGAAACTAATCCTAGTATTAAATAAAACCGGAAAGAAGTTACTTTCCTGAAAATTAATACAAATTGGGTGCTTGATAAAATAGCTTAGAAAAAAATATTCTCCAAATATTCACGCAGAAGCCGGCTATAGAACACTGCAGTGGATCCACAACATTTCGAGAAAGTGACACGCCACGAAAACGCTTTTGTCGTGTCCGCTGGTAACTATATATATAGGTACCAAATCCTACGGTCGACTTCGCTCTAAGCACGGCATTTCGGGTCCACTAACAGTGCTATTCCGTTCTTGTTGAACCCGTCGCTTCCGACAAAGGGTATGGCGAGTAAATTAACCCACATACACAGCCCACTGAGTTTCACGCCGGATCTCCTCAGTGAGTCGCGTTTGCGATGCGTTGGTAGATTCTGCGAAGCACTGCTCTTACTAGGGCTAGTGTTAGTAACGTTTTCAGATTAGAGCCCCGTGAGCTCACCTACACGTCAAGGAGAAGCTGAAATAGCCTCTTAAGGCTTTCAGCATAGGTAGGGGAAAAAAAAGATTATATTTCATTCCATATCATCTCATCTCATTCATTTCATGTAATTTCATTCCACTTGATTAATGTCTCATATTAATCATCTTCATTTTATTTCATTGCATTTCACTCCATATATCATTTTTCTTAAAAAGAATATCAATTAAACGAAGATATGACTTAAAGGTCTTAGTTACCAGGTCATTAAATCCCTTAAAAAATCTCTAATTAGGTATCTACTAGGGATGGTCTGTAACAGGTGAAATTAGGGACCTGTTCCACCTGTTCCTGTTCCAGTGAAAGAACAGTTCCAGCAGCCTGTTCCAATATAACAGCCTGTTGTGTTGCAACAGGCTTAATAATGTTTTTAGTAGAATATGTTCCACATAAAGGAACAGTCATACATATGAAATGGTTTTAGTACATTTTTTAAATTAAAAACAATCCTTCATGCTTTCTCAGGCTTATATTAATGATATGTGAAACTAGTTTTGCCAAACTGTGCACGCATGTTAATGTTATTGCTATCTTTTTCTATTACAATAAGTGAAAGGAGAAAAGAGCATGTTTGGGAACAGGATGCATATGCTATCTTTTTCTATTTCTGTGCGTGAAAAGGGAAAAGAGCTTGTTCCAAACTGTTTCGTTTCTGGCTGTTTGCTGTGAAACGGAACAACGTAACATATGGAATCATGTGGAACGATTGTAACAGTTGTTTCGGTCTATAGACAATAGTTCCAAGCTTTTTCATAGACGAACCTGTTCCGTTTAACTGTTCCGATAAATACGCCTCACCCCTAGAATCTATATAGTATCCTAGTATCTAGTATTATCTATGGTAAGTATCTACTCCGGTCTCCGCGATCTGTGCAATATTATTGTGCCGGTGTATGTGTTTTGTCAAAGTGAACTTAATAATTGCTTAAGCCTTATAAGGTGAGATAAAAGATAAACGACCAATAAAAATGACAATACTTTCATAGGAAATAAATATTTCATCCTATTTTAAATGGAAGTATAAAAATAATATCAATAAGTTGTGGTTATTTGGAATCTTGTCAAAATGGCGGGACGCTTCACCGTGCATACGATTATACCAGAAAAGTATAAATTCTATAAAACGGTTTGATAAGAAGCTACATTTACTATAAAATAGCAAAGAGTTAGGAAATTAGTATATTTCGTGATTCTGGATTTGTTAGACCAAAAATTTTAAGTCATAAAACGTCGTGTTTTTTTTATCGCATCGATGCTCGTATTTGGGTTTCATTTTCGTGATTTGATACACTATTCATATGAAGATCTTATAAATTACTGTAACGAACTAGTATTCCTATCAACAAGATCAAGATATGTTTTAATGTTATCGACATATCGATGGTTTTAAACATCTGGTAGGTAAAGGTTAAGTGTGAAAACGAACAGTGAACTATATCTTAAAGTTTGCTCTATTATTTTTCAACGTCTTCTTGTGTTCTTGTAGTGGTTTAAAATATTCTATAAAATGTACAATATTTATTGAAATGAATCTTCTTATGCGGCCATCCAATAATCTAAGTGTGCTAGAAATGAGAGTAAAATTTTAAGGACATATTACGTTTAGGGACATTTTATTACATGAAAAAAACATGAAAATATGACGTAGAGAGCAAGGGCTACTCTGACTCCATCACTGTAGACATTAAAGTGAAGTATACACAATGTTACAAAGTGATATACATGATAGTGTTGTGGGTTGTACATGTAGGTAAACCTTAGACATTAAATATAAATAGCTAAGGTATATGTATAAGGAAGAGAGGCCGCCCCAGAACAACTTGGCGTCGCTCGGTGGAGCAGGAACGAGGGGTCTTGGGCATGACGTGGGAGGAGTTAGAACAGACTGCCCAAGACCGATATAAATGGAAAAATTTGATTCGAGCCCTACACCCCAGCAGAGGGTAATAGGAAAGAATGATGATGATGATATGTATAAGCATGAAGCACAGCAAACACATCTAGATAACACGTTGTGCTATTAATGTTTTAACATATAATTCACATATTATTATGTACATCTGTGTCCTGTGCCTCTTTGATTATATTAATGAATTGTTATTGTGTAATTATATTAAAACAAAAAAAATACCAATAATTATTCTCTGTACAATATGATATGATACAATGTGTACTTTGACAATAGATTATAAGTGTTCATCCACTATTGTAGATAATGCATTATGCCAAACAGTACAGATGAAAATTCATTCAAAAGCCCTTACATAATCTTAACTTTAATAATCTTTACATCGTGTGCCCTTCGAAAACTATTGATGATAGAATAAAATAATGTACTACGACTTTGTAGAAAGTTATAGTTATGCTGCAATAAGTGTTCTTTTATTTAAAAAAATAAAAAAAGTCAAATATCATTGAAATTTTTGTTAAAGAACCGAGAGGAGCCAGAGCGGGCCACTAGTATACAATATGTGACATTATTTTGTTGTTTTGTAACATTGTATACTCTCTCTTTCACTATGTCTAATCTTTTTTCTTCTGTGATTTAGATAATGGCCGACAAGAAAAAAGAAAACGAACCAGAAGCCGAAGAGGAATTTTCTGTTGAAAAAGTTCTGGACAGGCGCATTAAGAATGGTGTTGTGAGTATAGTTTATTGATATAAATTTTTTTTAATGTTACTCTAGTTTTGCTTTCAGTACTACATAATGGGTGATCAAAACACATAAATTATTTATTTTTCATTCACACTCAGATCTTTTATTGATAATAGGAATTTAATTTTGGATGCAATCTCTATCTTCTATAGTTCTATAGTGAAGAAAATACAACTTTGTTAGTATCATTCATATTCTGAATTGAATTAGTTACATTGTCAATTTAAAAAAAAAATGCCCTGAACTGAGCTACACCAATATATAAAATTACTAGCTGACTGGCATCGTAGTGCCTCAATCGATAAATAAAAGACCTAAACTTTGTAAAAAATAAACTTAAAACAAACAAAAGGAATCCGGCCGACGGGGGACACATCATAGAAAAAAAAAATTGTTGTTTTTATTTAATTCCAAGCATTTTCATATTCATCTACCTTTTAAACCTTCTCTGGACTTCCACAAATAATTCAAGACCAAAATTAGCCAAATCGGTCCAGCCGTTCTCGAGTTTTAGGGAGACTAACGAACAGCAATTCATTTTTATATATATAGATTAATTCTATATTATTTATAATTAATCATTATGTATACAAATAGAGGGGTGAAGGGCTATTTGGTTTTAAGCGACATTTCAATTAATATGGAACACTTTGTAATTAAAGGTCAGTTTTATTTGGTATTAGCAACAGTTTGATGCTTTTAATCGAACGCTAATTATGCTTATATCATTCAAATAGCTGAAGAATGTCATGATATTTTTCAAAATTTTAAACTATAAATGGCTCTCCTATAAAGTATCAAAAATGTCGCTTAAACCTCCCTCAATATCATTGTAACAAATTAATAATAATATAAGACTAATATATTGTAAAAAACTTATAGTTGGAATATTACTTGAAATGGAAAGGATACAGTGATGAAGATAATACATGGGAACCAGAGGATAATCTTGATTGTCCAGATCTTATACAAGCCTTTGAAGAAGCAAGAAAGAAGAAAGAAGCTGGTAATATTCATATTTTATCAATACTGCTTAAAAATTTATGCTCTCCAGTACAGTAATATACTCAAGCTCTATTAGTTCACCTAAATACCTTATTGTGATAAAATCTTATAACAATGATCATGTTAAAGGAAAGCCAGCAATTTTTTAAGTGCCTAATAGCTTCCCTGTAATTTATTGTAATTTATGACACAGCGAACACACACTTCTTGTCTATATCTTTTGGCCTATGGCCATAATGATAAACTATACATACTACCTATTACCCAAGTTCTAAATTTCCCATTTGCCATCAGTACTCCATAATATGTTCTGAATTTTGTCCACTTTCCCTACTTGTTATACCCACTTGTTGATATTATTTGTGCAATTAAACTTCTTTATTATACAGAATCATTCAGGAGATGTTTGAGTTATGTTAATTGAAAATTTGCTTTGTCTCTCAAAATTACTGTTATCAAAAATAATCACATTTATAAAATAGATCTTAAAAACAATAGTATTCAATAGATCTTGTTAAATTATAAATCAAATCTTTGCATTATAGATAAAGATAAAAAAAATTCAAGTAGTCAGTTAGTAGTTCACAGATGCTTTTGAATCATCATGACCTTTTTTTCAAATATTGAAATAAAGTATCTAATGATCTAAATTACTATAAAGCAAGTCATATGTTTGAAACCTAGTTGTAAACCTTGTATTCCCCTGTAGAAAAACAATTACCGAAATTGAAGTGTGATATACTACAGACCGATTTGACCTCTGCTTCTGGCTAGTCGTTGTTTCATCAGCTTTTCAAACTCTTAGTCCCAAATACTAAATAGAGACTGAGGGTGCAGTTTAAAAAAACAGTATGAGTCAAGTTATAATGGAACCTTAAAGTATTCAAACTCAATATTCATTGGAACCATTTAAATTTCAGAGGGAAAAATGTCAAAAACTGATAAGGATTCAAAGAAGCGTAAATCAGCCGCAGCCACACCTGATCTCAAAGGTGCAAAGAAAGCCAAAAGTGATGACAAGAAAGCATCTGGTTTTGATCGTGGATTAGAACCAGAAAAAATAATTGGTAATCTTATTTTCTTTGATAGTCATACATGTGTAATATACTGACTGAGCGAATTTCAAGTTATTTTATTGTTGATTTTAGATGCTACAGATAATAGTGGCTGAGCAATTTTAAGTTGTTTTACTATTGATTTTAGGCGCTACGGATAGTAGTGGTGAACTCATGTTCCTCATGAAATGGCAAGGAACAGATGAAGCAGATCTTGTACCAGCAAAACAAGCTAATGTGCGGTGCCCACAAGTAGTTATTCAATTTTATGAAGAAAGGCTCACATGGCACACACCAGCACTCGATGAAGGAAATAATGAAGACTAAATAAGTATGACTTCTGACAGGATTTCTAATATCAGTATCAGTATTAATTTTTAACAATGAAACTTTCTGTTTTAAAGCTTTGAAGAGCTATTAATGTGCCTACCAGATTCCATAGAGATGTAAATTTGAAATTATAGTTGAATTGTATAGTAATTGTCTCATGTCCATAGTCTTATCTGTATCTTTTTCAAATGATATTTGAGATCAAAGTCTTCAGTGACAGGTCTTGGTTTTATTCCTGGTATTGGTGACATTCATAGAGGGATGTTGACTACTCTCCATCAGGTGGACTAAATGCTGTTCTGTCATCAAAGTCAATTAAATAATATCTTTCCAATAGGAATGTGTGACAGATACAGGAAAGTATTCAGTTCAATATCTGTGGGTCACAATATTAGTCATTTAATGACTTTTTTATTAGTTGCAACACTACACCTGGCGTCTTATCCTGATACGAAAAAGCGTTGGTAACAAACACGCTTTGTTTATAGCGCAATGCGGTTGACTCGTTCGGTGGCCTTTTTTTGTCATCCTCGCTCCTGGACGTGAACAATGCCAGAGCCACAGCAATAATGAAAAGTGTCTAAAATTTATTAAAAAAAGATATTTTTGTTTCAGGACTAATTTAAAAAAAAGAAGGTGGGAGAGTATTCCTGAAATGAGAACACTTTTATTAGAATTATATTATTGATGAGTTTTGACTATTTTTTCATAGGAAAAACTAACTTAAATTAATTGTTCCATGGCTGTTTTTTTATCACACTCCCAATTGTATCATTCCTTTTGTAACATTACAAATTAGAAATTTTAACTTATTCAGTAAAATCGACTTGAACTTCTAAGTTGTGGTTGGACTGTATTTCGCTTTAGGATTCATTTCGCTACTGTTTTTATTTGTGCAAAGCGATTTGAAATGGAACATTATTTTTATATCTTTACGATAGTATATAAGAAAAAAAGTATTTTTACTTTAAATATTAATCACAGCAAAAATGTTCTCATCAAACCATATCTCTCCAGTCTGTCTAATAAACTATTCTAAGGCGAGGCAAATAAAATTATTCTTTATATACCACAAATTATAATTTTCTATGTAGGTATAATATTTTGACTACAGAAACACTACCTACATGTATGATGAAATATATGGCACATTGATAAAAGTTATTAAAAATTAAAATATATTTTCAATGTTTTCGTGTTTTAACCGATACTGCATTAGTTAGGTCATATGCTATGATGTTGATCAGCAAAAACTTCGTTGTTAGCTTTCTTGCCAAATTTAGGCATTTTTATTGGCATTGTAATCCAGTCTATAAAGTAACAAAAAATATTGACCTCATCAACACATAGGTACAACTAAGTTTCTTAGTTGTAAGGTATATTGGGATGAATATTTAAGGCACAATAAAATAGTTTTTATGAGCTTTTTTATTATATAGATCGTTTTAAATTTCGAGAACCATTTTTTTTCCAAAATTTGATCTTTTGCAGAATTTGTCGCCGTTTAGACTCTAGATTCCCTTAGATCCTACAAGATTTTGTTTAAAAACACATTGTAGGTTAAGCAATACTATTATTGTCATTCCTCCTCTATCGATACATTTCAAATTCCAAATAATAGCTACGAATCAGTCTATTTACTTAAAGAATACTACATCTATTTACAAGATTGAGCTTTGTATAAAACATCTACTATGAAAGCGGCTCGATCTGGAAGTGAACTAATGAAAAGCGCAAGTTATTCATCATTATATTTTACAGCCAATTCACAGTAATAATTGAGCATCAGAGCCAGAACGCACCAAGTGTCCATCATTGTGTAGTTTACTGTTTGTGTACTTTTGTATATATTTGTGTGTTTTATAAATGTACATTGACACTTAATAAAATGTGTTCGATGTTATGAAGATGGATGTCACTAGAAAGCATATTGCGATGACGTCATATGCTTAATGGTTACAACAGAAGCGTTTTTATTTGGAAAAGTGAAATAGTTTTGTTCTATTAGAACCATAATTTGAGTCGACTATTATCAAAGCCGGCAATGTGACTTTTGGACAATTATTGGTAAATCAGAAAAACGAATTATTGACTTTGTATTCCATTGGCAGTCACCAAAACTCTTCTGATCGACATCTTAGATAAATAACAGGTTAAGTATTAACCTTTATTTAATGCAGGTTTTGAACCGTATTCTTTGAAGGAGACGATTATATTCAAATCAATCTGTATTGACATATCAATAACATTTTTTTGGTCAAATGCACAGATTGCCACCTTTGATAATAGACGACTCATTTGTAACCTTTATGTAGTGTCATTTGGAATGTGTTGTCGAGTGCTTGGCTACCCTACCCGTAAGGAGCATTAATGGCATTAGATAAGAATTTTATTCTGCAAAACATAGGATTAGGAGACAGTAAATTCACACCAATATGGACATAATTGATCGTTGTAGTTGATGTGAAAATATTTTAATTTTAAGTATAAATATAAGAAAATAAAATCAAATGGTCGTTTGATTTCAAACCCTCTCAAGAGACATGAAATTGAAGAAATCGAAACATTCAATATCTTTTTTGCAAAAAAAAGCTTTAATATAAGTTTGTAAAGCGTAAATTCATATAACTACTATAGTTTGCTAGATATTCTCGTAGACAGTCAAAAGTGATATAGGTAATATTAAAAAAAGAAATATCAAACCGTTTTGAGATCGAAATTAGATACTACGGAGAGCTTAGAAAGAAACAAAATGCTACTGAAAACTGCGCACTTAAATGTTAAACTTTTTGAATGGAACCTCTTCTGATAACACATTCATGTTTCACAAAAAACACTGGCCATTATCGCAAAATTTTGGTAGGTACTTAACTTCTAAACATGCGAAGTAACAAATGATCGTTATTTAGAAAACACCGGTGCGTCTTCCAATTTTGTGATAGAAATAAAACAATATAATAAGCACAACACATTGTAATTTTCATAACAATTTTACTCGTGGAATCCGTTATTAGGGTATAATAATTATGGATTACTGTTAATTAACATTACTGTCAGTGACAGTCAAACTTAAATAATATTAGTTGATTATTGTTTGTGGTTTATTCGTGTAGCCATGTAGGTAGAAGTGTAAAAAAGTCATTTGTACGTCTCTAAAATGCGATAAGCAGGCCCATCACTGTTTCTTGATTTTGTTAAATGAACGAGAAACTCGTTACGTCCAAAGTTTGGACGTTTACAGAGCCGAAAGGCGAATATCGTTGCCTATCTCACAATTCTCGCATCAAACATGTAGGTATCAAGTGAAACCATAGATTCTGTAATATTATCCGAACTCAGTTTGTCTATTCTGTTGTTCAAACCGAAACAAAGGATTGCTTCGGTTGCTTGGTGGTAGAAATAGGCATTTATTTTCTTGCTCATTATTAAGTCAAAATGGTGTACACGTGTACGCGTCTTCGATTTATCATTTTAGCCTGTGATTTTATTATAGTACGCGAAAAATTTAAATAGCTTTGTATTTTGTAAAAGTATTTGCGCAGTACACAATTTGGTAAATTATTCTATGTATACAATTATAGATTAACAACAAAAGTGTAAAAAAAGCTAGATTATGTTTTTTTTGAGCTCACGGCCTGCCTGATTTTAAGTGGTTACCTGAGCCCAAAGACGTCTACAACGCAAATGCCGCCGCCGCCTGCTTTGAGATATACATACATAGATATATATAATTGTGGGGCGCCAAAACTTTGATATCGGAGCACATTAAAGTTTTGGCAATTTGTAAATTTGACAATTAGTACAACGTACATTAACAATGATTTCACAAATAAATCTACATTCAAATAACAACAGTGGCCATTCATCGTGCCCAAGGTACACATTCTTCTTTGCAACCGCGATTACCATCACCAAACTTATAATAATAATGCATTTTCACTTCAACCGAAGGATGCTCTTTAATTAAATTGGTGATCTTGGTAATGTTTTGTTTAGTCGATTCACATCCCTGCCCGTTGTTTTTCGTTAAAATACAATTAACAGTTAAAAACGATTGGACGAAATCTTTATCTGAGAGCATCTTTTCAAGTAGAAGCCACTTCCAGTCGTCAGTTCTGGATATGTCAATGATTTTCTGTAGTGCCCGTGAAAAAAGAACATAAATACATGGAAAATGACTATTTACATCTTGCTTCAGATATTCAACACAGTTTTCAGCAAATTCTTGTGATATTTCTGTGCATTTCAAGTCCCATTCTGCTTTAGTTGTTTTCTCTAACAATTTTGCCAAAGTTAATGTTAATTTCCAGCCTGTTACCATGACGTAGTTTTCGGAAACTGGCAAAGTGTTCAACTCCGTTAGTATTTCTGTGAACATCTCTGTGGGGATTATCATATTTTTTGATGTAACGTAATAGTTTAGATCCATTGTGAATTGGTAGAGTAATTCTTGAAAGTTTTGTCTTATGAAATAGCATCCGTCGCGATATTCGTTCCACATATTTAAAGATCGTTTAATTAGAGGTTTAAGTATATTTTCCTGTTTCCTCTGCTGGCTTTCAATGTTCTTAGCGCATAAAAGATACGCCGAAATAACTGTTGTCATGCCGTATGATGACCTAACAGGGCCTGATTTCCCTTGAAAAGTATAAAATTTTTTTTCAAGAAATTCCGTTATAATATTCTCGATAAATTCATTGTTCATGTGTTCCATTATTTCTCTTGTGGATTGTTCCAGCAATTCCAAATACCATTCGTAGGTCCCACGGTCATTGACCACGTTGGAAATTAATCGTTTTAGGAACCCGTAACTCTTTACAAGGAAATGGGGCTTCACATTACCAGGTACATCTTCGACTTTTGATAGTAAATCGAACAGTTTTTTATCGTCTTCGTAAGTTAAATTATCAATGAAGACTTCAAAGGTATCCCACAAGTTCTTGGCTTCAATTGGGTCCTTTGTTTTACATAACAGTTTGAAAGTGAACTCAAAGATCATCCCTCGAATTGTTTTGTTCTTCGATGTTTGCCATAAGTTCAAGAATATTACTTTAAGTTCATGAGATTCGAGCTCTGCGAAAGCTAAACGAATAATGTGCTTTTGCAGAGAAACTGGAGCGTCTAAAAATTCTGGCAAACACTCACGACTACTTTTAGCATTTAAATTATGAAATACGGCGAGTAGTGAAGGCAACGTAAACTTCACGTAATCGCCTTTAGCATAACTCATGACAATCTCTGGTTTAGGTTGTGGACGTGCTAAATGCATGTTTTTAGCGAAATGCTTCTGTAAGCTAAGACTGACTTCATCTACGTTCTTGAAATCAATCTTGCTCTCCTTAGGAATAAAGGATACAATAATGTCAATTAAAGTAGTGTGAGGCAATAAATAGCAAAGGCCTCGAGTTAGGGCTTTGTGATTGCTTAATGTTTTGAGTCGGGCCATGTATTCATTCGACCAGCACAAGGCTAAAGATTCTGGCCAGTAAATGCGTATTTTGCTGAGTACTTGTTTTAGAGACACATTATCGTTACACTGTAAGTCTTGTACTTCTGTATTGTATCGCGACAACAAACTCGGCTCATGTTTCAACGCATTAACGCAAACCTCTTCACATGGGTTCAAAATTATAGATTCCTCGAACATAATCTTTCGCCATGATTTTTGTACGTTGTACAAATCAGCAAGGTCTAGCGTCCACACATTTTTTCTTTTAATCGAAGCGATTTCCTTAATTTTATTGATAATGCTAGGATACTCTGAAATATTTTTTTTCCAATCTTTCAAGAGAGTCAACGTGTTAATTAAATTACTTTCCAGATCAGCCAATTCATCCTGTGTAGAAACAGTTGTTTGCACTTTGGTCAGTAAATGATCAAACAAAAAATTAAAAATTTTCACACCATCTTCTTCGGTTAGTTTTTTGTAGGCGCTCAGTGTTTCAAATTCGAATTTATTCATAATCACTTCTGGAACTGTTTCATTGTGTAAAACTTTGTAAACGATTATTGTTTGAATACAATTCTGATCCTTCTCGGAAGATGGATTGTATAACCCCATGCCACTAAATATTTCATTTAAAACATCCCATGTCGTTTCATCATATTTGTGAATTTCAGTGTTTTTCGAGAGCTCACTAACAAAGTTACATTTAGAACTGAACGAGTCTTTAATGTGTTTCTTGCTGTAATAACGCAATAGAGTCTGAATGTCTGAAAGATTTTGTTTTGCGCAATAAATAAGTGTTTGGAGCATAGCTTTCTTATCTCTCGCAGACGATTCAACTTGAAGGCTTTTTTTTATTGCAACAAATGCGACATCAAATGGTGCATATTTATACCATATGTATTTTTCCATATCACATTTATTAAAAAACAATTGTATGCTCTGTTTTTTCGGATCGTTTTCGTTCACCTCATCTTTGTCATCGAGGAACATTGCCTTGACGANAAGTGTTTGGAGCATAGCTTTCTTATCTCTCGCAGACGATTCAACTTGAAGGCTTTTTTTTATTGCAACAAATGCGACATCAAATGGTGCATATTTATACCATATGTATTTTTCCATATCACATTTATTAAAAAACAATTGTATGCTCTGTTTTTTCGGATCGTTTTCGTTCACCTCATCTTTGTCATCGAGGAACATTGCCTTGACGAATTCATAACGTTGAGGTGGACGGATTCTTTGAAACAGATAAAGTACCTGATCCGATTTCAAGAACATACTCAAATTACTATCGTCTTCTGCTGACTTTATTTGTTTCGTTAAAAAATCGCTGATATTTTCACTTTTTAAGTATCTAGCGAATGTGGGCATATGAATGTTAATTGCGTATTTTTCGAAATTGTTTATGATTCGCTCTGGACATTTTTTCATAATTAAATCCGTTGCTTTTGCATTGAACGTAGGTCTGTTGTAGTATGGAACGCGTTCTACAATATTTAAGTACCTATTTGTCTCATTTTTCAAAAAGAACGTGGTTTTCTGTAAAAGCACGGAGTTATGGTTATCGATTTTCTCCAGGATGCTTATTGATTTTTCACACAAACGTTTTAATAAACGATTATCGTTATTGTGTCTATTAATGTTATCTTCAATAAACTTCACAGAACAGTTGCACAGCCATTTTGCTGCGTCGCTAGGTACCTTTTCGTTTCGGTAAAATTCTTCAACACGTTCTTCGTCCTTCAAATGCAATCTTATGTGTAACATAAGTTTATTAATAGCCTTGGTCATCATATGTGGAAAAATATCGGAGTTTAAATAATTGGGATTGATGAAGTTACTATACGTTTTCTCAGTAATAAGCCAATTGCTTTTTTTAATAGCCCACGAGACGTAGAGCATGTCTGTTGATTTGAACGCATTCAAAATGAAGTGTACATCTTTGTTTTGGCTAGCCATATCTATGAGAAGTAAGTTACCGATATCATCGTCCGGATGAGATGATATTTTAATGTTACCAGACAGCGCATCGTTTAATAATTGATTGTAATGTTTATGTTTTTGTCCTAGAGTGTCTCCTTTTAACACCGTTGAAGCCATGGTCGCCAACTGAAAAAAGAAAAAAGTAACTTTAATTCAAATAATATTTTTATTCCATAAAAACATTCCCCAATTAACCATACCGTAATCGTATTATTAGATGAACATTTATGGGTATTTTGATAATTAGCATTTTATCTATGATTTGAATTTGTTTATAATCTGTTATTTGTAAACTTAAGGGATAAGAACATTGAACAAGTGACATTACTTTTGGCGGGCTTCTTTTCTGTCTTGGTGATGGTCATATACACAACGTAAAAAAAAACGGTGCGGAACGTCCCAAAATTTCTGCAGTAGTGGTTGAGCGTGTTGCAAAGTCAGTACCAGCGTACTGCATTAGGCATTAGGCGTATTATGTAGTTCTGCCTACTTCGTTTTCCGATTCAGTTTAGAGGATGTATAATTGTTAATGTTTCCGATGCAATAGAGACCTCCACTTAACACCTGAAGGTAGGCGGAGACGTTTATTTTGTAGTGTCTATGAGCTCCGGTAAATAATGAGCATAAGGCGAAAGGTGAGCTTTTTTGCCCCTATAGCATAGATTTCTGTTACTTCCTAAATAAAGTATAGGTATTTTAAAACACGCGTAAAACCAATCTAGCAATAAATAACTCAAACATATATTTTTCAAATTAAAAGTATAGTTTAAGGAAATTGTTAATATCAGAATACCGTGATTGGCATGTGAAAGATTAAGTATGTACGTACTCTACTATTACTAAGTAGAATAAGTAACTAAATTATGAGATAAAATCGAATGTTTTATATTCGGTTAAATATTTTGCAATTTATAATAATGATACTTTACGTTCCAAACGCAATAACCGTGACACACGGTAATTATTCCATTAAAACTTTTTTTGCTTAGGTGTATAGACGAGCTCACAGCCCGCCTGGTTGTTTAGTGGTTACTGGAGCCCATAGACATCTACGACGTAAATGCGCCATCCACCTTCAGATGTAAGTTCTAAGGTCTCAGTATAGTTACAACGGCAGCCCCTCCCTTCAAACCGAAAGGCATTACTGCTTCACGGCAGAAATAGGCAGGGCGGTGGTACCAATCCGTGAGGAGTCACAAGAGGTCCTACCACAAGTAATTACGCAAATTACAATTTTGCGGGTTCGATTTTTATTACACGATATTATTCTTTCACCGTGAAAGTCAATCGTGAACATTTGTTAAATACGTATTTTATTAGAAAAATTGGTACCCGCCTGCGGGATTCGAACACCGGTGCATCGCTCAACACAAATGTACCGGACGTCTTATCCTTTAGGCCACGACGATTTCAAAATGTCTATTATAAAACAGAAGAATAAATAGTCTTTAAAGATTCTTACATTACATGAATAATGTAAAAATACATCTTACACTCATTCATACATACTTATGAATATATCTATGGACTACATAAAATAGCCTATGCTCTTTCATTCGTTCTTTATCCATTAGTTAAAATTACATTTACTTATTCTTAGTGCGGGAATCTACTGAACCCCGTTAATTATGACTAATATGCGAACTTCACAACATATTGAGTTATTTCTGTTTCATCTATCATGACGTCAACGAGTATTACGATTATATTAATATATTAAATATAGTTATTACACGTACCTTTAGAGTAAAATCTTTGATTGAATTATTTCTCAATACTTAACGAAAACAACCCAACAATAAAATGTTTATTGTGTTTATTACCAAGTACATCAGTACAGTACAAGATGAAGGTGAAACTACAGATGTTGCTAACGAACAAAAAGAAAAACACTGAAATAACGTATAATACTTTTACATATCTAAGTGTACTCTTAAAATAAATCTAGCTTTATGCCCCCAGTTTTACCTGCGTGGTAACTATACTAAAGTACTACATTTTGTATCGCGTGAGTGGAGATTCATGCTCAGCAGTTTGATAAAAAGTAGCTTAACTTATTTATTAGGGATTCGAGTTATTTCCATAGAGTTGATCATCAAAATCCGTTCAGCTTATTGTGTGTTAAAACAATAGACAAAATTACTTTCGTATTTATAATATTAGTGTAGATAAAATCATAGACAGAGCGAGCTCGTGACAAGTTCATGCAATATGTCTTAAGCCTTATTACATTTATGAATACCAGGAGCTTAAATCTGTCCATACATATTTTTTGGTTATAGCCTGTAAAAACGAATTTTAATTAATAACGATTTTGTTCAGCATATTATCTTAATTAGAAGTCAGGTGTTTCGTAAATTGTTCAATCATTGTTAAACTATGGTGCAATTACTGAGAGTTTTACATTGTAACACTATTTGAAATGCTGTAATTTTTTAAAATAACAGGCCTTTTTATCTTGTAAATATTTAGAAAAAAATATTAATAATCTTATAGTTAAATAGGAAATTGTTTTAGACGTGATAAGAAGTGACATTTTGAAATATTCCGCATAGTTCCAGCAATAACGTATCAGGCAACTCTATCAAAAATGTAGCACAGACTATAAATAAGTCTTCAAGGCCATCATACTAGGATGAATTGGTAGGTATACAGATAACCGCCCACGTATGAATCACCGGCCGGTACATAATGTGTATATTTTTTATTTATTGAATGTTCTGGATTATTGTCTTTTAGCCCAATCTCTAAATAAAAAGTGAAACGGAGCAGAACTAAATCAAGTAAATTTATCTGAAGTTGATTACGGGATGAGAGTGAACGCTAATTAAATCAAACTAGTATGCATTTACTGCAATGAAATTTTGTAAAGAGTTCTTGAAGCTGCGTCTAGCTATTACATTTTTCTACATTTGTACAAGTGCACAGACATTAAACGATTGATTAGTCATCGTTAGTACAGATTTAAATGTTAAAACGATGTGAAAGACAGATATTTAAAGTGAGTGAAATTTTAAGAATTCACAAATTATCTCCCTTCGTTTTCGGCCAGAAAGTAACCTGATAATCGGTAATAGCAATTCTAGTGTGACCAGAGTAGATGCATGTAGTTTAGCTTCTAAGTTGTGAGCGACTGCTAATAGATGGCGCTATATAAGACATTGGTTTCCCAGGATATTCTGGGCTCTCTACGTACTTACTGTTAACGTACACCTGTTATGAGATCGAAGTATATTTATGTTTTCCCGCGATTCAGCCCTTTGAATTTGAACGCACTACTGCTTCACGGCAAAAATAGGTAGGGTGGTGTTACCTATTCGTGCAGACTGACAAAACGTCCTGCCACCAGTAAATACGCAAATTATAATTTTGCGGGTTTGATTTAAATAAAATAAACGTTATTTTTTTATTGCTTAGATGGATGGACGAGCTCACAGCCCACCTGGTGTTAAGTGGTTACTGGAGCCCATAGACATCTACAACGTAAATGCGCCACCCACCTTGAGAGATGAGTTCTAAGGTCTCACTCAGTACAGTTACAACGGTCGCCCCACTTCAAACTGAACTTCAAACCGAAATGCATTACTGCTTCACGGCAGAAATAGGTCACCAAATTAAAGCCGCGGTAAACGGTTAACATTACTGCGAAGCAGGCATGCGGCCTGAATGTCATGCGGCCATGGGATAGACGTTATGTGGTGGCTTTTACTTGTGCTTATTATAACCTATCACCGTTTTTTCCCCCCTACCAATGCTGATAGCCTTGAGAGGCTATTTTAGCGTAACCTTAACTAGTAGGTGAGCTCACGGGGCTCAAGCCAGACGACGTTGCTAACACGAACTCTAGCAAGAGCCGTGCTTCGCAGAATCTACCACCGGATTGGAAACGTGACCCACGTGACGGGTTCGACGAGAACGATGACCGGATTATCACCAGTAAACACATATTATATTATTTTAATGGAGTACTTCAGTGTATCTTAACTGTTTCTTTTTAAATATTAGATGTATTCAATACCTTCTTTACCATAAGGGCACACGGGGCCCGTGCCCAGGGCCCCCCATTCTCAGGGGGCCCCGAAGGACCGACAATTTGGTTACCAATTGTAGTCGAGAGCGGTCATTTTCGCAGCTTAAGAGAATAAAAAATGAATTGCAAACAACAATGTTACAAGAACGGCTGAGTAATTTGTCAATTATGGGCATAGAAAGTGATATCCTTAAAAAAATTGACTTTAAAGATATAATGGAATATTTTGCTCAACAGAAATCCCGAAAGAAACCATTATCGTAATCGTAACCAAAAAACCAGCAGCATTCTAATATAAATAATATTATTATATCTTACTGTATTTAATTACCTATAATAAATGGTCATACTCAATAAAAAAATGTTTAAGGTGCGTGGCGCATTTACGTTCTAGATGTCCATGGGCTCCAGTAACCACTTAACACCAGGTGAGCTGTGAGCTCGTCCACCCAACTAAGTAATAAAAAAAAATTATAATTCGCTTTTCTTACTTTCCAAAAGGGCCTCAAATTCTTGTGTGCCCAAGGGCCCCAGCCTAGTTTAAGACGTCCCTGGATGTATTGCAAAATCAACGAAATCGAAGCTTCCTCACACTGTAGAATCACACTCTGTATACATACATGGTGAATTAAAAGTAGTTAAATGCAGTAGGTACTTGTGGTTTATAAATAGAAACTTCGATATAAAGTAATGCTTTTGGGTGTGGTGCTAAAGGTCATAATGTGGGTCGATCTTATTAAAGGTCGGACGTTTTAGTAATGCTTATGGAATACGACTGGGTAATTCGAGCTTAATATTCGCTTTGTTTGGAAACACTCGAATGCTGGTAGGCATTCGTTTTTTTTTATTAAGAGGTCTTTTGAAATCATTGTTCGATATCGTATCATTGAATAAGCGTGAAATAACTTAAAAATATATCGCTCTGAGACATTAGGCCGAAATGTCACTAGCATTTAAACAACGGCTAGCCTTTCAGATGGGCTCGCGTGATTACGCTGCGGTAGCAACAGAAGAAAAAGGCAGTAGAAGCGAGCTTTGCTCTGCCCCCAAATAGTTTTTTTTATTTTTATTAGATGGTTGGACGAGCTCACGGCACGCCTGGTTTTAACTAGTTACTAGAGCCCATAGACATCTACAACGTAAATGCGCCACCCACCTTGAGATATAAGTGCTAAAGTTTCAAGTATAGTTACAATGGCTGCCCTACCCTTCAAACCGAAACTCATTACTACTTCACGACAGAAATAAGCATGGTGTTGGTACCTACCCTTGCGGACTCACAAGAGGTCTCACCACCAGCCTATGTTCGCGAGCAACGGAATCATATATGGTATGATCGTAGGCTCGTCTGCTTTCGACGGCAATAAATAATGGTTCTACGGAAATGATTGTATGTAAATTGAATCAATTCAACAGATTGCTTAATTTAATTTCCAGTGGTTGGAATTAACCGCGCCCCGACATTCTTGTATCGGTTATATAAGTAAAATATACAAAACGGTTGGCAGTTTTGTGATTTCATATATTATTTATTTTTGAATAAGCTTTCAGGTACACTGAGCCAGAAGTAAGTTACCGCTCTCGAAAACAGGTAGCACTGCTAGTCAACACGATAGCATAATCAAGATCGACAGTGATTAACATACGACTCTGTGCGCAATGTAAGCCAATTGAAAATTTACTGAGAAGTTTTTCTTATTTGCTTATGATTCAGATTGCATATGCCTCATGAACTTAGTATTTACGCTTAACACAATAATAATATATTTATTTTTTATGTGAAGTGACTCATAAATATAATTAAAAAAAAAGGATGTTAGAATATTTAAGCCTACTTAATTAAATATGTACATACATATATTAAGCCGCACCGCGATTCACTGCCATGCAATTATATTTAAGACCCTATTAGAACCAACCCTCACTTTGACAGCCGGGGATGCATAGCTGTTACGCATAGTGCGTAAAAACAATTTACTCTTGCATCCGCGAACATCCCTGACACGCTACAGAAGAGCCCGCTGAGTTTCTCGCCGGATCTTCTCAGTGGGTCGCGTTTCCGATCCGGTAGTAGATTCTGCGAAGCACGGCTCTTTCTAGGGTTCGTGTTAGCAACGTCGTCAGGTTTGAGCCCCTTGAGCTCACCTTGAGTTAAGGTTACGCTGATATAGCCTCTCAAGGCTCTCAGCTTAGGTAGGAAATAAAATTAGCTACAGAAGCGGGCTCAAATCGGAAAGCCCCCATCACACGCCTTTTAGGCCAACCCCCAGCTTACAATGACGATGACCAGCCAGAGTTACTGGCCGATGCACTGTACGAGTGGTACTCCATCCCGGACACACCGCGGACACCGAATACACCGGTGACAATAACAAGGTGACACTCTACAAAACGTGGATAATTCTGTCATGACCCGTGCAAATATAGTGATCGCTTACGCGGCTCACATAAACTCTCTCCAGGTCATCCTTTTCTGCAAGATCGCCGTCAGAACACCGTGGTACGTGAGGAATTTCACTTTTCACGATGATCTAAATTTAGAGCCTATATGGCACGCCTGCCTTAAGGCAGCGTCAGAACACTACTTTGACAAAGTAGCGCTACACGATAACCTACTTATCGTGGCCGCCGCTACTATATTATGCGATCGTAAAGCCGCTGTCGCCCGAATCCATTCTCGGTGCTTCTTAGGCTCTTAAAGGACCGGTCACCGTGCTCGTCGAACTCGTCGATTACCTAAAGAGTTCGACGCGTAAACTAACCTACCTAGTGGACACAGCCTACTGAGTTTCTCACCTGATCTTCCATCACTATCACCAGCAAACCTGCGAGCCAGT